AGATTTCACGATTCTTGCCAAGGCTTGCCTGAGGTCGCCGAGTTTCCATACGGGAGACGATAATTTCATTTGGAAGACGCTGGACTCGACCCATCTAGGAAGGGCTCTTTCGATTGCCAGTCGAATGGCTTCGGCTTCGACGTCCATTTTCAATGTCTCCGCTTGTTGGAGTAGAGCTTCAATTTCATCAACCAATTCCACAGTTTCGCTGTATGATTCGCCGTAGGGTTGGAGTGACAAGATTTGCGAGAAAATCTTGTTTCTGAGTGACTGTTCGTTGCCGAATCGTTCTTTTAATCGAGTTCTGACGAGGTCGTAGTTTTCTTCGGAAAGTTCGAAACCAGCGATTGCTTGCTTGGCCCGTCCATCGAGTGAATCGAACATGTATGCGAGCTTGACAACCTTTGGCCAATGCTGTGAATCGATTGTTTGGTCGAAGGCTTGTGTGAACAGTCGGAACTTGCTTTCATCCCCATCAAATCTTGGTAGCGGAATTTTGGGGAGAAGAAAAGGCTGTGGAACAGATGGATTTGGAGCAGCGTAGAGAGGAGGGGTAGTTCTTGTGGGTGAGGGAGTGGTGATGATTGGTGAGAGCTCTCGGAGTGCTTGGTGGGCACGATCCTTGAGACGTTCCAATAGCACCGCGTGCTTTGAAGCTGCCTCCAGCGCTTCATTGGCTCCGTCACTTGAATCCAGATGTCGTTCCATTGCTTCCGCCTCTTTTTCCCGTGCTTCTTCGCCAAGTGATGCGATGTAGCCTAACCATAGTTTCTGGGCCACATCCATCTCCTTTTGGGCTGACACGATTTCGCCAAGGAATGTCTCGATCGAGTTTACGGCTTTGTTGATTCTGTCAAGGTCGTTTGACAAGAGATCGCCTTCGAGTGATTCGTCACTGTTTTTGACTCGTTCGAGAATCCCGTTGATTTTTGTGACGGCTCTGGTGACCCTTGCCTTCATTACGGCAGTCATTTTTTTTTTTTACTGTCGATCGTTGAAGGTGGTGGTGAGCATCAAAAAAAAAATGACTGCGTTGACAAATGACAAAAAATGACAAAAATGACAAAATGACTGACCGGACTCGTTTCCCGGACTGCGCACCAAAATGTTGAATATAGATTGTATCCAATATTCCTTGGTTCAAGGTAGAAGAATTTATTGAAGCACGGAGGGTTTATATACCGAAAAGATAAGTGCTAAATGTTTTGAAAGGTCTATGTTTTTGTCTGGGGAAATCGCGGAAAGCTTTTAGAGGATAAAGGAGGATCAAAGGAGGGAAATATTGGTCGATAGACTTTTAAAAGAAAAATAGATTTTAAAAGAAATTAGACTTTATCGGAAGAATTTCCGAACAGATTACATTAGATTTAGTTTCTAAAAGATAAAAAGAAGAAAAGATTTTTAAAGTTAAGAAAAAAATAAAGAAAATTGCTCGTCCTTTCCTTTTTCCTTTTGAATAAAGAAAAGGAAAGAAAACTAAACTAATTTCGCATCGATTTGGAAAGAAAATTTTGGGGGAAGTGTTCCTCGGGAACATATAAATGACGTATAGAATTGCATGAAAAAACCGTTTGGCTCTTGGCCGAAATGGTCAAGCTTTGAAGGCCTATAACTTTGTCCAGAGATAATATTATGGCTAACTTTTTATATCATTGAATAAAGAACGTTTCAGGCTTTTGTATGGTACTAAATAGAGTTTGATTTGATTTTTCATTCTCATGAAAATCAAGCAGTACTCCATTCGAGTTGGATCGATTTCGTTTGGCCAGAGTTGGCTTGAATTTCTCTGGACTGGTTTATTCAATCAAACTTTATTGAGAATCATTTAAAAGCCTGAATTGTCCTCTTTCAAACGATATAAAAAGTTAGCCATAATATTATCTCTGGATAAACTTATAGATCATCAAAGCCATCGAAGAAATTTGGAATAAGTGGCCAAGCTTTGAAGGCTTTGAAGGCCTATAACTTTATCCAGAAATAATATTATGGATAACTTTTTATATCATTTGAAAGAGGACAATTCAGGCTTTTAAATGATACCAAATAGCGTTTAATTGGATAATCCAGTCGAGAAATTCAAGCCAACTCTGGAGAAACGAGATCGATCCAACTCGAAAGCTGTATTGCCTGGTTTCTCTGGATTGGTTTATCCAATCAAACTTTATTTGATATCATTTAAAAGCCTGAATTGTTCTCTATTCAATAATATCAAACTTTATGACTAATATTATCTCTGGATAAAGTTATAGGTGATCAAAGCTTGACCAGTCATTTACAATGCTCAGATTTCGGCTAAGAGCTTCGATTTCTGAGCAAATTCTGTAATTTAAATGAACAAAAACTAAACATTTAAATAATGTTCTAGATTTCTAAAGTTCTAGGTGACTAAACGGGGAAGTTGGCCGTTCCTGGAGAGAATTCTCAATTTTCCAATCTTTCTTCAATCTTCTGTCCACCCACTCTTCTCTAGAATGGATAAAAAATAGCTGAAAGCTAAAAAAAGCGGAAAATAGGGAAAAGGGAAACTTAGGGGGAAAAAAGGAAAAGCAATTATTGAAAATGGACTCTTAAAAGAGCATTTTGTTTAGAAGAAAAGAAGCTTTTCTCTTTTTTGCCAAGAAAAACATCGGTGAAATCTCGGGAAAATCGTTAAGAAGAAAATGAATGTAAATGGAGGAAATTGAATGAAAATGAAAATGAAAATAAAAATTGAATTTATACTGAAAAGCGTTAAAGGTTGAAATGAAGAGATTTAGGTTTTAGAAAATTTGATTTCATTAACATTTAGGTATTTCTTTTCCTTACTACACTACTGGACAATGAAAAATGATATTTGAAAAAAGATCGTCACTTTCGCGCGTCTGTAACTCCCTTGTCTTTACCGTATTTCTAAATATTATTATTACCATTGTGTAGCCCTTGAAAAGAGCTTTCAGAAAATGTATAACACTAATAGTTTAAACTCAAAGACAAGGGAGTTACAGACGCGCGAAAGTGACGATCTTTTTTCAAATCTGATATTTCATTGTCCAGTACTGTAGATCTTTTCTATGACGTTAAAAAGTCTTCATTTAAATTGATATTTAAAAACAATCTTTTTATAGCATTTTTTATTTCATTTTAAGCGTTTTAAGCAAAGCAATTAACAAAAAATTCTAAGAAACCTATAGAAAGATAAATTTTAAAAATTTGACAGTTTTCTTTGTTTTAAGAAGTTTAAGAGCATAGCTGCTTCATAAAAAGTTGTTTTTAATTATTAAAAAGATCTTTAGCAAGTTAGGATAAGTTCGACGAGAGCTCGACTGAAGGTACCTTCAGTCGAGCTCTCGTCGAACTTATCACTTGTGCAGCATGAGTTTGGTTTTCAATGGAGAATCAGGAAAGAATTAGCACTATGGAAATCATTGTTAGCCATAAAAACTAATGTAATGCTAAAGATATTGTAGTATTTTGTAAACAAATAATCTTTGATTCTTTAGGGTTAAGAAGAGTGAAGGGGAGGAAAGAGAAAGGAGTGAGGTGAGCTTCTTCCACTCCCATGAGAATATTTTGCAAGAGTTGAGAAAAAGGAAAATAAGGAAAGAAAAGGGAAAAGGAAAACAAGGAAAGAAAAGGGAAATAAAGAAAGAAAAGGGAAAAGGAATAAAGGAAAAAGAAAGAAAAAGGATAAAAAGAGGATCAATAGGGAAAAGAAGAAAGAATTTTTATTCTCGAGCTTTTCCCTGGAAATCGGGAATGAAAAGAAGGAAAATCATATCTTTGTGGCAAAGATAACATTTGATGGATAGAGCTTTTACTTAGCGAAAAGTATAGAGAAATAAAACTAGTATATAAAGTTTTAGAAATAAAGATAAAATAAAGATCTAAAGATGATAAAAGACTAATAAAAGTTGAAAGTGACTATTCTCTATATGTATTGGGTTGGGGAGAATGAGTCGGCGCGCAACTTTAAAGGGACTTTTTGCACACATAAAGCCTTCTTTAAACATACGTTTGGTTTCATCAAAAGGATCCACTATTTCTCTACAAAATCACTTTTGAGAGATTCCACAAAGCTTTTCTTTCGTGGAGTTTATGAACTTCCAAACGCAGCTGGTTAAAATGGCAAAGAGTCCGACTCATCATTTGAACAGTTTCTTTCACATAAACCTTCTTTGGTGTTTATATAAAAAAGATAGAGCACATTCAATTACTTAAGTTGCCAAATTTGCAGGAAGATCCCACCAATGGTTTTTTCTAGATCACAGTTTGTAGTTTTTGTGAAAAAATGACTTTTTCTTGAGCGGAGGCGCTGTTTGAATTTTCTTTTAAATGTGATTTTGTAGAGAATTAGTTAACCATTCTACTCATATCAAACGCATATTATTTGACGAAGTCGAATAGAAGTTTTAGACATTTTTTTCATTTTTGGCGCCGACTCATTCTCCCCAACCCAATACTTTGTGTTTAAATCTGTAAACGAATCCCTTTGGTTCTTCAATTTTTCATTCTTTTTGGTGTCACAAGAAAAATAAAGAATTCAGTGCGCTGAAAGGAGTGCGTTTACAGATTTGAGCACAAAGTACACTTCTGTGCTGGATTATAGTAGCTTAAGCCTAGTAAATACTAGCCTAGAACTGTTATAGAACTAAAACTGTTCTAGGACTCTCTTTGTTAGAGTGTGTTCCTCGCGAGTAAGTAATTACTCGAGTAAAATTTGTATTTTAACTAAAAAAACAAGATTTCTTGAAGAAAAACAAATGAATATTTTAGAAAAAAGGAAAGAGATTTAATTTTAGAGTGTAAATAGGGTTTCCTTCTCAAATGACGAAAAAATTCTTTTGAAATTCCTCTTTTGAAATTTCGGATACAGAAAAGGAAAAAAAAAGTTAAGCTCATTAAAAAGAAAAGAACATTTTTTGAAGATAATCCTTTTTGAAATTGACATTTTATTGTTGTTTTTAGTCTATTTTCATTTTTTAAGATTGACAAAAGTTAGAGGCAAATAAAAATTTCTTTACCTTACACTGTTGGACCAAATTTGCGAGTTGACGTTGTGATTCAACCACCTGAAAATAGAAAGTTTCATTTTTACGAAAAGATTATGAATTTGTGCTTAAAATCTGCTTTTTTGAGATCTTTTCGGGTTTTTGGTAATCGTTTGGCTTTGAAATTTTGAATTTAAAATTTTGAATAAATGGCCAAGCTTTGATGGCCTATAACTTTATCCAGAGATAATATTATGGATAACTTTTTATATCGTTTGAAAGAGGACAATTCAGGCTTTTGAATGATATCAAATAGAGTTTGATTGGATAAACCAGTTCAGAAAAATTAAAGAAAACGCTGAGGAAACGAGATCGATCCAACTTGAAGGCTGTATTGCCTGGTTTCTCTGGACTGGTTTATACAATCAGATTCTATTTGGTATCATTTAAAAGCCTGAATCGTTCTCTATTCAATGATATAAAAAGTTAGCATTAATCTATGAACAAAGTTATAGGTGATTAAAACTTGGCCAGTCATTTACAATGCTCGGATTTCGGCTAAGACCTCAGATCACTGGATAAAGTTATAGGCTTTCAAAGCCGATAAGCCGTTTTTCAAACAACTCTGAGCTTTGGTTGGTTGGCAAAGTGAACTCTTAACTTTGATCTCTATTCTCAATCATTTCCCTTTCCTCACCTCAATTTCCCATTTTTGTCTACTTTGCGGTGTTAGTTGGTCAACGATTTTTTTCATTTCCGTTCCACGAGCTTGAAGTCCGTTTGACTTTCGGAAGAGAGCTAAGCTGAAAAAGAATTGATTTCATCACAGAGTTTAGTAAAATTTTAGGACATTTAATACCAAGAATATTGAAATTCGATAGTCCAATGGCAACTGGCAATTTGCTATTGACAATCCAACTTTAAGCTCAAATTTCTTGGTGTTCAGCTGTTCAATTTCAATAGTTTTTGTAGCAATCGATAGAAAAAGACTTGGCGCATCTAATGAAATCAAAAATATTGTAATTGGATAGCTCAGCGCTGAGATATTTAGGCGCAAAGTTAGATTGATAAAAACGGCGATGTTTGTTAACTGTTTAGTATCAAGAAAAACGGGGTTAGAAAACGAATGTTATAAGAAAAAGACATTACAGTAATCCATTCCCAATTTTTATTTCTAAATCGGGACTTAATTACCGTAATCTAGAGTATTTGTATGATGCTATAGTATAAATCTAATAGAAATAGGTTTATGTGAATGGATATGGAAATAAATCTAATAGGAATAGGTTTATGTGAATGGATATGATAAATAAACCTATTCCTATTAGATTTATACTATAAAATCATACTCTAACGTTAGATCTAACCCAGCTTTACTTATTCTATAAAATTAAATAAAACATCAAAAAAAATAGAATTCTTTACATATCTTTAAGTCAATTTTTTCTGGAAGTTCATTATTTTTCAGCTTTTTTCTTAGATATCCAAAATGGCTTCAAGTAGAGGAAGTCATAAAGAACAGAAAAAAATGGAGAAGGCAATCAGCTAAAAACAGAAAAACGGATTGAGTTGCTTAACTGAATATCTTTATTTATTTAGAAATAGATTGCTTAACTGAATATCTTGAAATAAACAACCTTTTTGAGAGAAATAAGTTTTGCGAAAAAGTTCAAGTATTTTTCGAGGGGCCCCTCACATTTTATGTGAATCATAAAAAGCCGACAAGAGTTCAAAACAAGTTTTTTTTTGATATTAGGTTGTCCCATAAAGATTTTTGAAAAGAGATTTTTGTTTTGATCACTACTAGCTCACAACATAACGTTTTGTATTTATCTTTTTTTCTGTTTCATGTTAAAACTTTCTTCTTTCTTGCAATGACATTCATTTTTTAGAGATCGATATGAGAAGAGAGTTGCAGTCGTTGCAGTTGCAGAAGAGAGTTGCAGAATGAAGCCAACTCTCGAGAAGAAATCCACGCCCTACTGCTCTAACGATTTTCAAGAAAGATTTCAACGGCCAGCACGAGAAATTAATCAATTTTATGGCAATAGAATCGTTGGAATGAGTGCCGCAAAGGTTTGGAATGGAATGGAATGTTTTCACAAATTCAAGACGGGCAACACGAGGATCAAACGGAAGAGGGAAAACGGCCGACCCCGGAAAGTAGATTGATCTATTCTGAGGCACTGAGTCCTGCAAAATCTAGATGAATCAACCGAAATTGCCTTAGCTTGCCGGGTACTTGGCTGGAAGTTACTGGATGACTGTGTAGCTGTGAAAAGTAGAAAGTAATTCGAGAAAACAACGCTAATCCGATAAGAAATGTTGGAAACAGTCCAAGCAAAAAGAAAGCGGACATGTCACTACTTGTAGAGCAAATACCGGCGTGGTAGGCTTCCCCCTTCGAACATCATCACTCACGATCAAACGTGGGTTTTCTACGATGATCGAGTGTTACAACGGCAGTGATTGAAGAAAGAGCAAGTAGAGAAAATGGTGCCAAAAGGGAAACTCCACAGAAAGAAGCGAATGTTGTGTGTCGACAAGTGTTCGACAGGCGTCCTTTTCTGGGAAATTCTCAAATCAAAGCCAAATTTCAACGCCGTTTCAACACCAAATTTCATGTTTATCTAAGTTGTATGCAAAAAGTAGAACAAAAAGTCAGGAGGTTTCTCTATGGAAACAAATGGAACGACTTCGTTTTCATTCTTTACGATGGCGCAAGCTTTCACAAATCAGAAAGATCGATCGATTTTGTGAAGAACGATCGATTTTGTGAAGAACGATCGATGTTGTGAAGAACGATCGATGTTGTGAAGAACGATCGATTTTGTGAAGAACGATCGATGTTGTGAAGAACGATCGATGTTGTGAAGAACAACCAATATATTGAAATATCCTTCCTTATGCAATGTATTCTCCGAACGTTGTTCTTTCTAACTATCTCATGTTCTTATCGCTAAAGGATTTCTTACTTAGTAAAAAGTTTAAAGATGATAGCAAATGGATTGAAGGACTATTTTCGCTCGTGTTCTCTTGTATTTTACAAATGATTGGTAAGCTACCCAAAAGTTGAAAAAAAGTAAGAAATTTATCTGGAAAATATTTCATTTGATTCTGATTCTTTGCTGTTTCTATTTGTTGAAAATAAATAAAATTCCAAAAATCTCTAAATTTTTATGGGACAACTTAATGAGTTTAGCTAAAAACAATGGAGTTTTTTCTAAAGTTATCCACTTTTTTTAGAAAACAATCCAATTTAAGCCTTCAAGGATTGGAAAATCTTAAGTAATCCGACTAAAAGAGATCAATTTTTTTTTGAAAAAACTATCATAATCTTGTCATTTTTCATCCAATCAGCTCAATTTTCGTATGGATTTGATGAAAGAATCACAAGGCTCAGTCAATGATCTAAAAATTAGATAAATCTAAATGAAAAATGATGAGATTATGGTGGTTTGTTTGAAATTAGAAGCGTTTTAGAAAGAGAAGAGACTTTCGGTGCTAAAGAATGATGTTAATTATACAAAAAAGTGACCCAAAAATATCGAATAACCAAAAACTAAACCCATTTTAGTCTCAAAAACAAAACAAAAAAAAACACAATGCATTTTCGATGGGTTTTCAGTGTTTTTGTCTTCGTTAAACAGATTTCGGAAGGGTTTTCGGGCTCTTTTTCCCTTCTCCATTAATCTTTCTCTCTTTTTTTTCCTCCTTTTCGATTCCAAATTGTGGGGGCGAATAAATGATTTGAGTGGAGAGTTCTCGAAAAAAAATTGCAACAAAATATTTCAATTTTATGCTTATTTACGTTCTTTTTTAGGTAAATTTCGATTACATCAATTGTTTACCCACGCTAATCTTGTATAGACTAAATGATGCCCAGCTATTGTAAACGATTACGATACGATTACGATTATGATACGATAAACGATTACGCTACGATAAACGATTACGCTACGATAATCGATTACGCTACGATAATCGATTACGATGACGCTACGATAAGCAAGCTCGTTTACTCTAATCGTAATAGATATTTGATGTTACTTTAACTTAACTATAACTATTTGATGTTACTATAACTGCTAGATCTAGTAGCTAGATTTGATTAGATCTTTGTAAAGATAAAAATAAGTAACAGGGTGGTAAGCGATAAAGTTACAGTAACAAAAAAAGTTTTTTATACTTTTGATAAAAAACCAATTGGCGGCAAGCGGAATTGAACTCGCGAGTAAAAAAAAGTGGCGTAGGTTTTAGAGTCTAGCATGTTATCCCCTAGACCGCCACTGCTTTGAACGCGGCTCGGCGTTGTGCCGTCTTATAGGTGAGGTAGCCAAAAAATCGCCGAAACTTTGGAAACGTTTTTCTTGAAAACTAGAGTTGATAGAGAAAAACCAAAAAAAATAAATATTTCTAAGCATTCTACAGAGCCTTTTTGTAGCTAGATCGGGTTTCGAAAAATCGGTGATAAGTTTAAATAGTTTCCTAATTAGAGTGAGTACTTAAATCGGTGTTTAATTGGCTTTACCGCTAACAAAAAAAAATTCAACAATAATAGTGATTACTTCAATCTTTAATTAGAAAATTTTTACAATATTTATTCTCAAAAAAAGAAACCGACCGTTTAGCGTGTTTTTGTCTCGTCAAATATCCTCGTAGATACTTCTGAATGGTCGTCAGTTGCTCGCGACGATAGAGGATTTTGTTTTTCACTAAAAATTTTAATATATAAATTTTAATATATAAATCTAGATCTGGAAAAGTTGATAAATAATAACTAAAGCTTTTAGTAGTAAAAACGATTCGTGGGAGAGTTTTGAACAAAAAAAAAAGACAAAGAACATTGAATTTTTAGGCGGAAAACGAAGTAAATTGAATAAGAAATGGGAAAGAATTAGGGAAAAGGGAAAAAGGAAAGGAAAAAAGGAAAAAGGGAAAGAGAAGATTAACGAAAGGAGAAACAATGGAGTTGATCGGCTTTAGTTTTGTACTTTGTGTTCAACTTCTATAAACACACTCTTTCTAGCGCACTGAGCTCTTCATTTTTCTGAGAGAAAATGAAGAATTTTCTTCAGAATTCAAGAATTCAATTCTTCAAATGAAGAATAAAAGAAGTGCGGTTAGATGAAAACACAAAGTACTTGCTAGCTTGCTATAAATGTAAACCCAAGCGATCTGGTGCAGCAGACAGATCTCCAGATAGGTTTTGGTTTAATTACTTAGCCCAAACAATAAACTGGTTCAAAATCTGGCCTAGCTCATTTTCTTTTTTGAATACGAAAAGCTAAATACAGTCGAATCTCGTTAGTATGGAAGGGATCTTAAAAAACCGTTCCCTATCGAGGCTCGTTCACTAACAAGGTGTTCACTAACGGGATTCGTTCACTAACGGGATTCATTCACTATCGAGGTGTTCACTATCGAGGTGTTCACTATCGAGGTGTTCCCTAACGAGGTGTTCACTATCGAGATTCGTTCACTAACGAGGTGTTCACTATCAAGGTTTGTTCACTAACGAGGTGTTCACTATCAAGGTTTGTTCACTAACGAGCTGTTCACTATCGAGGTTCGTTCACTAACGAGATTCGACTGTACTGTCTTCTTGAAATACCGAAATAAGATTGAAAAGTTCAGTGTGTCAGAAAAAGTGTGTTTACAAATTTAACTACAAAAAACAAAAGAAACAAAACTCACATTTAATCACACTCCACGCTCCATATTGTGCTTTCCTCCAGCGCACGGTGATCAACCAAACTTTCACCTTTTTCACCAAAACTTTCATATTTTCCGGATCACGTCGAAGAAGCTGTAAAGAAAAGATATTCAGCTAATCAAATAAATCAATAAAATGATCGATACCTGATCAAATTCGGCGAACTTCGCTGGTCTAAAGAAAACTTTCGTCATGCCAAATTTGAAATCACGATTGTTGAGGCCAAGCACGTGGAAAAGACACTAAAGAAAGGAAATTTTAATGAAAAATTCTAAAAGGCACTCAATTTTAGCAAAGGCACTCAATTTTAGCTAAAGAATTACGCGAAATTTTGCAAGTCGCAAGATTTTGCGCGTAAGAAACAGGTTCATCAAGTTCACCAAGTTCAACCTTGTGACTTTCGCCTAAATAGGTGCCTTGCGACACATAAAAACGCTGAAAATGACGCTAATCCAATCATTAATCGTTAATCGTGAATTGTTAATCTACTCAAATAAAAAAAAAATAGATTTTTTAGGCTCTTGCGTAGTTTCCGGGTATTTTGAACGAGGCGTCAGGCTTTGAAGGCCTATAACTTTATCCAGAAATAATATTATGGCTAACTTTTTATATCGTTTGAAAGAGGATATTTCAGGCTTTTGAATGATACTAAATAGAGCTTGACTGGATTTTTCATTCCCATGTAAACAAGGCAACAATACACTAGAGTTGCATAGGCCATTCGCGCAGAGTTGATTTTCTCTGGACTGGTTTATCCAATCAAGCTTTATTTGATATCATTTGGAAGCTTGAATCGTTCTCTATTTAATGATACAAAAAGTTAGCCATAATATTATTTCTGAACAAAATTATAGGTCTTCAAAGTGTGACAACCCGTTTGAAAACTAGGCAAGAGCCATTTATTTGAAATGAAATAAAAATTTTGTCAGATTTGCTCGACTACGGTAATACAAGTGTACTTTAGAATGTCTATATGAAAATTCGCAAGTTGCAAGTCGTAAGTCATAAGTCGCAAGTTGATGTTGACCCAGGTCCTGGTTTGGCTTCTAATTTGGCTCGGAATCTACTTCTGGTCAAATCCCGAGCAAAGATCTGACTCCCTGACTCAGAAATTGTCTAGAACTTGGCTAATTCGATAAACTCACCTTGCAAAACAAACGTGGATCCAGTCGGGCCAGCTCTGGCGGTAACACTGGCGAGTACATGTTGTAAAGCTCCGAGAAACCGGTTCTACAAAATGTTGACATTCTTTTTCATAAGTTCTTTCAAAAAACCAGGTACAGGGTGCGTGTTTTTCTCTACAGGCCTAGGTACAGTACTAAAGAAGCCGGTAGTACTGTAGCTAGACCTGTAGTAATGTAGCTAGACCTGTAGTACTGTAGCTAGACCTCTAATACTGTACCTAGACCTGCAGTACTGTAGCTAGACCTGTAGTACAGCTAAACCCACCTGCTCGGGTATCCACTTTGCATCAATTTCAGCACGGATCCCATTCCAGCGCATCGTAGTTGCGAGAGGACTGACGATCCCTCGAAAATCCATGCCGACATCGAGCTATTCGGTTTCACACATCGCACAAAGTGGGTACCCTAAAATGATCTTTTTGATCTTGCTACTAGTAAAACTCGAATAAAAACTGAAATACAATTTAAACGAACTGTTGTATTCAACTTCTCCAAAAGTACTGTCAATTGAGAGCGAAATTTCGAGCCAACTGATGGGACGACGAGTTTTTTTCCACGATTTTGCGAAAACACTGAACTCTCAAGACTTTGCTCAAAAAGCTCTTTGATAAGTGGAGTGCTGAAACGAGTTAAATCGATTAGTGGCTTAGGCTTAGGCTTTAGAAAATAAATGTAAAAGAAAGTCATACTTGCTTGTCTCAAAAATCGCCTCTAATGATGCATGTAGAGCGTCATTGTTTTTCTCGATAAATTGAGCTGTTTCATAGCAAACCTGAAAGCAAACAGCAAACGAATTGTCGAATTGTCATAGCAAATTGTCTATCATTGAAAAGTTAAAGATTTTAAATCAAATTCAAAAAAATCCCAGACAATCGATGACCGTCTGCCTCTTTTTCCCATCTAACTTTGACCTTGAATTTCTTGACGTGCAATTATCCGATTGAAACAATTTTGGTATCAATAAACTCGTCAAGTTTTCTTCTGTTGATTGATACCAAAATTGTTTCAATCGGATAATTGCACGTCAAGAAATTTAAGGTTAAAGTTAGACGGTTATCTATTAGGTTCAGAAAGTCTTTTCGTTCGTTCCTTCCTTCCTTTTCATACTTTTATTTAAAACTAATGAATGCATTAATTAAGCTAGCTTGTTTGATTAAAAAAATCAATTATTTTCTTGCAAAATGACATTAAAACGGGTTTAAAATGTCTTATGCATGGATTTTTTTGAAAGCTTAAAGTCGAGTAGTCAAAAAGGGCAATAGTTTGATGACTTTAGACGTTTTAGACAATGTTTTAGACATTTTAACTTAAGAAAACCGATCTTTGTGTTAATAGGTAAAAGATAGAGCATAAAAAGCTAGGTTTATAGGCAAATTTTCAAAGAAATTCATTCAATCAATCAAAGCGCCCGTACTTTCAAAAAATGCGTCTTTGGTATCAAAAAATAGTCCTGAATTTCAGCTATTTTTATAGAAAATCCCCGTCTTTTCACTATCGAATTTGCTTCTAATTGAGTTAAAATTGACTTAAAAAGATGAAACATTTTAGCAATAAACACAAAAATATTGAAAAATAAACAAAAAAACACTTTTTATTTAGAGAAAACTTTAGATTAATTGATGAATTTGTTATTTTTCAAAAGGAATTATGAAAAAGAACGAAATGATTTTCTGGATAGACTAATATCTACCGTGAATACTGTAATTGGACCCCATGGGGTCCAATTACAGTATTTACGGCCCCCCAGGGGCCCCACCCCCCTCGTACAGTCGCGTAGTCGTAAACGCGTAGTCGTTTTTTAGTATTTCATTTTTTTCAAAACACCCGTACTTTCAAAAAATGCGTCTTTGGTATCAAAAAATAGCCCTGAATTTCAGCTATTTTTTGATACCTAAACGAGCATTGTAGCATAAACCAGTGTCGAGAAAAACTCGTTCAAAGCTAGACTACGCGATGCTCCGGCCGTCATTATGGGGGTGGGGTACTATTAAAGTATTTATGGTAGGCTTATTTTAGCTTTAATTGTAAGACAAACCGTTCCGGCAAAATGTCGAACCAATAACCCATCATCGTCTCGCATCCCACGGTGCTCTTTGAGTAGAGATTTTCGAGGAGTCTAAAACTTTCGACTTACAAATAAATAACTTTAGAATGTAAAAAAAGATGAAGATAGGGATATGGTAACTCTTAGATGAAGTTACGGATATGGAAACTTTAAAGCTTTAGAGCTTTAGAGCTGAGAGATTTAAAACTCAAAGATCTTTAAAGCTCTTTAGATCTTTAAAACTCTTTAGATCTTTAAAGCTCAAAAATCTCTAGAAACTAAAACTCGATTTACAATAGCAAATACGGTATTTATTCTAATTGAAGAACCTTCTTCAATAGAAGACGAAATTAGACGCAATTTGGACGAAATTTAGACGAAATTTAGACGAAATTTTTCATTTTTTCAGATTTCTCAACTCGATAGCAAAATTCTCAACTTTTTAAAGACTTCTAAAGGCTTTAAATAATATTTATAGACTAAAAAAAGCTTAATGAGATTAAAATGAATGAAAATCGATGAAAATCGATGAAAATCGATCAAAAATAGTCATTTTGTGCTCTTGAAAATTTGGGTATACTAGCTACGAAAAAGAATCTTAAAGAGACATTGAAAAATAGAAGTAATAGAAAAATAGAAGGCATAGAAAAATAAATGGAGTAGGAAAATAGAATTTGAATGAATATTAGAATTACGTTAAAATGTTCGAATTAGAATTCTGTTAGAAACTAATAGTTTTAAAATTCTAATTCTATTAAATTTCTATTATTCTATTCGATTTCTATTATTCTATTAGAGTTCTATTAGAGTTCTATTAGCTTTCTATCAGAGTTCTATTAGAATTCTATTAGGTTTGTATTAGAATTCTATTAGAGTTCTATTAGCATTCTATTAGCTTTCTATTAGCTTTCTATTAGAATTCTATTAGGTTTCTATTAGAGTTCTATTAGAATTCTATTCGAATTCTGTTTGAATTCTATTCGAATTCTATTTGAATTCTATTAGAGTTCTATTAGAATTCTATTAGCTTTCTATCAGAGTTCTATTAGAATTCAAATAGAATTCGAATAGAGTTCTATTAGAATTCTATTCGAGTTCTATTTGAATTCTATTAGAGTTCTATTAGAGTTCTATTAGAATTCTATTAGGTCTCTATTAGAGTTCTATTAGAATTCTATTAGCTTTCTATCAGAGTTCTATTAGAATTCTATTAGAATTCTATTAGAGTTCTATTAGCATTCTATTAGGTTTTTATTAGCTTTCTATTAACTTTCTATTAGGTTGCTATTAGGTTTCTATTAGCTTTCTATTCGAATTCTATTAGAATTCGAATGTTTACAGTAGAAAAGGACTTACATCTAATCGAAAATGTTTCTTATTCGCTTCGTGAACAGCTGAAGTGAAATGAATGGGAAGGGGCTTCGGCAGGCGCATCTCTTCATCCAAAAGATCCAACATTCCACTGCCACGACGCTCGAAAAGATCTGAAAGCAAAAATTGCTGTAATCAATAGACGGAATTCAAAAATTGAAAATTTAGATTTCTAGGCTAGGTTTAGTATAGGTTTTACGGTTATTCACTCACCAATACAATCCTGATTATCGACATAAGTGATTTTCTCAACTCCAAGACCTTCTTTTTCATAGAGTTCTTGTTCCTAAATTGATACTTTAGACCTTCAGTGTACTTTGTGCTCATATAAACGGAGTATTTCTAGCATTATCAAATCCTGTGAGCCAGAAAGGGTGCATTTTGAGCACAGTGTTTCGCGCACCTGTTTAAGAATCCTTTCGTTGAAGAAATTCTGCAATTTCTCATTGCAATAGTTGATACAGAATTGCTCAAAAGAGTTGATTGTGAAGAATTCTAAGAAATTCAACAATTCAATAGAAATCGAATAGTTTTAATAGTTACCGTAAATACTGTAATAGTACCCCACCCCCATAATGACGGCCGGAGCATCGCGTAGTCTAGCTTTGAACGAGTTTTTCTCGACACTGGTTTATGCTACAATGCTCGTTTAGGTATCAAAAAATAGCCCTGAATCTCAGCTATTTTTTGATACCAAAGACGCATTTTTTGAAAGTACGGGCGGAAAGTACGGGTGCTTTGAAAAAAAATTAAATACTAAAAAACTTTTGCGACTACGCGACTGTACGAGGGCGGGGGGTACTATTACGGTAATAACGGTATTATTTACGGTAATAACTCACCAAATCCAGCAATATCCAAGACTCCGATATAACTATTTGTATTATTGAAAGGAATCGATCGATTGATCGCACCGACAATCCAATCGAAAAGACGAGAGTAGATTGCTTTCGCGAGCGCATCTCGAGCTGCCGATGCTTCTGATGGCTTTAATGGCACTCTGGAATATAGGAAATTTTGTAACCGAACATAAATTATCAGTCGCTTTTATGGTAGCTAAAAATCTCTTCATTTAAATCATGATTTAGCTCGATTTAGCTAATCATTTAGCTCATGATTTAACTCAATTAACTGATTTAAACTCATCTTTGAACCTCATCATTTAACATTTTTGAAGCCTCAAAGTAAATTAATGTTTGTAAAGACTTTAGAAAACTTAACAAATCAATTTTTATGGCTTAATAAAGAAGCAAAAAAGTTTTGCCAGCGAGAGGATTCGAACCAGCGACAGTTGGAACCAGGCAAGTCCGGAGTGCTAGCACACTATCCACTAGACTATTGGGGCAGATTGAGAGACCCGCGAGAACGCCTTAAGTAGGCTAGCTTGCTGTTTGGCTAAGGTGAAATTCGAAATTTGTTGAAACTTTGAAGGTTTATATCTCAAGAACGGCTGATGATAAATAGAATTAGAAAGCAGTTTTGGGATGCTCATAACCAGGAGATGTTTACAGCTTGGAACTAGATCACTCCTGAAATCAGATCATTCTTGAAATCAGATCGTTCTCTGGTCAGATTTTCAGAAATTTCAAAATCGAATATCAAAAGATTGCGAAAGACTTTCGAAAATCTATTTGATGAAATATGATTCGAAACGTCAAAAACATCAAACTCTAAAGGTTTTGGGATTGATTTTTGTATGGCAAAGTTTTATTTCGTTTATATGATTTGTTTGTCTATTTTTTGCAATTTTGTTGGTATGAAATCACACGAAACTTAGTCAAATTTGCATAAAACTCAATAAAAAATCTGTTTTTATAGGTACAAATAGAAGCCTTATATTAAAAAAGCAAAGAGACACTTTAAGTTGTTTTGTGCAAATTGCTTAAAGTATTTGAATCCAAAAAAGAAAAGAAAAGAAGGGTGCAGAAAAGGATTCGGAAAAGGATCCAAGGATCCAGGAATCGAGGATCCATCAAAGAAGGATCCAGGAAAGCATCCAGGAATCTAAGATCCATCAAAGAAGGATCTAGGAAAGCCTCCAGGAATCCAAGATCCATCAAAGAAGGATCCAGGAAAGCATCCAGGAATCTAAGATCCATCAAAGAAGGATCTAGGAAAGCCTCCAGGAATCCAAGATCCATCAAAGAAGGATCCAGGAAAGCCTCCAGGAATCCAAGATCCATCAAAGAAGGATCCAGGAAAGCCTCCAGGAATCCAAGATCCATCAAAGAAGGATCCAGGAAAGCATCCAGGAATCTAAGATCCATCAAAGAAGGATCTAGGAAAGCCTCCAGGAATCCAAGATCCATCAAAGAAGGATCCAGGAAAGCATCCAGGAATCTAAGATCCATCAAAGAAGGATCTAGGAAAGCCTCCAGGAATCCAAGATCCATCAAAGAAGGATCCAGGAAAGCCTCCAGGAATCCAAGATCCATCAAAGAAGGATCCAGGAAAGCCTCCAGGAATCCAAGATCCATCAAAGAAGGATCCAGGAAAGCATCCAGGAATCTAAGATCCATCAAAGAAGGATCTAGGAAAGCCTCCAGGAATCCAAGATCCATCAAAGAAGGATCCAGAAAAGTTTCCTTTTTATGAAGTTCAAGCGTAAAATTGAAAATTGAAAATTCTATTTCAAATTTCGTTTGATTTACAATGTAAATTTCAAATGTAAATTCAAATTTCCTTTAGAATGCATAAAATTGAGAAGTTTTTCCACATTTTTTCTCTCTAGATTTACATTTTTGAGATTACATTTTGCAAATAACATTTAATAACATTTAGCTTTATCTTTTGAATAAATTTTCTTATCAAAAAGTTTCATCATTACTCTAAACCATATTTCTACGTTTCAAAACTCAACTCCAACTACAAGTATTGCATTTTTTGTTGAAATTCTTTTCGTTCCCTGTTGACGTTGATCTTTCTGAAGCTGATCTTTAAAGAACAAGATCAAAATTGGAAAAAAACCCTTGATAGACTAGAAACTAGAAAAGAAAACCTAATTCCCCTGTTTTTCTGAATTCCCTAGAAAAATTGAGTCCAAAAAAAGTCGCCTTTTCAGCTGTTCTTTCGAAACGGGAACGGTGCTGATCTTTTCTCTAAAACTCTCGGAAAATTTCGCTATTTTTCGTGAAAATCTCTGCGTTTCTCCAGTTTTTCCGCACTTTTTTCACATTTTTCTCTAAATTCTTGATATTTTTCCATAAGATCAGCACCAAACCCAGCCCCTTTTTGAGGATTTCTTTTCGAAAAGACGACTATAAAGAGTCGATGATTCTGAGGGAAATTTTATGCATTCAAAACATTCAAAACCTTTAAAAACCTTTCTAAATCTTTCTAAACCTTTAAAAACCATTCAAAACCTTTTAAAACCTTTCTAAACCTTTCTAAACCTTTAAAAACCTTTAAAAACCTTTTAAAACCATTCAAAACCATTCAAAATCATTCAAAACCTTTATTTTTTTTAAAATTTAGCATTAAATTTGTTCTTGGTATCGAAAACTTTGAAAATTACTTGTATTCAATCGTTTACAAATCAAAATTTCACTGAAACTATCGCATAATTGATTTGATTCGATTTCCCAGTGTTATTTGAATGTTATTTTGGGAATTTTCGGGCAAAAATGCATTAGAAAGTTTTGAAAATTGTTAAACAAATCAAAAAAGATTCAATTTCTATTTGAATTTTTCTTCTAAAGCTCTATTTTTAAGCTTTATTTGAGGGATTTCCGAAATTTGAGCAATTTTCGAAATTTTTGAGCGTTTTCGATACAAATTCCAAGTTCTAAGCTATTGAAAATGTTGAAAATGTTGGTTTTTTTAAAAAACTTTAGACCAAAACCCTTTTAAATTGAAAAAATCTCATTTCTAGTTTTATACTAGCTTAAATTTTGATTTAAAACCTTTATTTTATAAGGTTGAGAAGTTTAAAAAACAGCAAAAAGTACTTACCGTAAATACTGTAATAGTACCCCACCACGATAATGACGGTGCGGAGTGTCGCGTAGTCTAGCTTTAAACGAGTTTTTCTTGACACTGGCTTATGCTACAATGCTCGTTTAAATATCAAAAAATAGCTGAAATTCAGGGCTATTTTTTGATATCAAAAGACGGAGCATCACGTAGTCTAACTTTAAACGCATTTTTCTCGTCATCAGTTTATAATGACGGCCGGAGCATCGCGTAGTCGAGCTTTGAACGAGTTTTTCTCGACACTGGTTTATGCTACAATGCTCGTTTAAATATCAAAAAATAGCCCTGAATCTCAGCTATTTTTTTATATATAACTTTTGCGACTACGCGACTGTACGAGGGCGGTGGGGTCCAATTACAGTATTTACGGTAACTTTTACGACTTTTTAAACTTTAAATCAAACTTTTTATCATTCGCTTCTATTTTTTGTAAAATTTCCTTTATACTTTTTAAAATTTAAATCAAAATTTCAGATTTTCACAACAATGCAACCAGTACGCTTTAAGATTTACCAAGGAAAACAGGTGAGAAACAGGAAAAGAGATATCAAATTTGTTCACTCTATCATCCAAAATCAATTCTAATCATTGAATTCTACAGGCTCGTCGTTTCCGTTTGAATTACGAAGAGGAACCGAAGAAATTCTTCGCTCTTCTCAACGGAAAGTTGGCCGATTTGGGTTTTACAGGAAAAGGACTCCGATGGATTGACGGAGATGATGATGAGGTGAAGAAATCGAAATGATTTTGTTTATCCTTTCTTCTTCCCTCTTTTCTTTTCTTTCTTTCTTTCTATCCGCCCAGTTTCAATTTTTCATTCTTATTCTTATAAGAAATAGTGTTCAGTTTAAAGAAACTACTAAAGTAAGCAATTTTAGATTCATTGCCTCAACCACGACGATCTCTTAGAGGCTTTGACCTATTCGAACGGTGAAGAGATTCTTCTTCGTGCGAAGAAAGACAAAAAGTTGAAGAAAGAGGAATCGGAGAGTGATAGTGAGAGTGAATCGGAAGACTCGGACGATGATGATGAAAGTGATGAAGAAGAAGAAGAGAATGAGGGGACTTTGGTGAAAGGTGATCAGAAAGGTGATGAGAAAGGAATGGAGAAGAAAGGACATGGAGGACATGGGAAACACGGACATCACAAGGGGCATTGTCATCATGGAGGACATCATGGAGGACATCATGGAGGACATCATGGAGGACATCATGGAGGACACCATGGAGGACACCATGGAGGACATCATGGCAGGGGTGGAAGAGGAGGTGAGTCCAGGAATTGAGATATTGATAAGAGCTCAGGGTTGATCATAGGCTGTGGTCAAGCTGGTTCTGGGCCTTCAAGTAAGCCTGGATTTGGTTCCTGGCTTGACTGACTCGCAAAAGTCATGAATCTGAACCAGAAGCTAGCTGTTTGCAACCAGATTTGCGCAGGTTCCTGGCTGAGTCTGGACTTGGATCTGTCTTCATCCAGACCTGGGTCAGAAGCTGGCTGAGTCTGGGGCTGTCTGGCCTAGCTCCAGCCTGAATCTTCAGATTTGGACTAGCACTGGCTAAGAGCTGGGCCTGAACCTGACTCTTGATCTGGTCTTGGCCTGGGTTATCCAGTTGGAACATCTTTCCTCATAATCCTTAGAACCTGATTTAGATAAGATACAAACTATTTCACCCATAGCATCTCAAATTTCAGGTCGAGGGCATTGCCGTCCTGCTCGTCCATTCTTCGCGATTTGTTACCCGTTGCCACCGAGGCACGGCCGTGGAGGACACGGTGGACCACCGCACGGTCGACATGGACCATTCGGACCACACCACGGGCCACATCATGGAGGACATCATGGTGGACCTCACCATGGAGGACATGGACCACACCATGGTCCACATCACGGACCTCACCATGGCCCACATCATGGACCCCATTCTCGTGGACCACATGGCCAGGAGAAGCCATTTGAGAGTGACTCGGGCTCGGATTTCGAGTGCTGCTCGATGAGATCTGGTGGGTGAATTGATAAAGCTACATCTAATTAATTGATTACGGTAATTGCTGGAGACGGAAAATTTTATTTTTCGGGTTCTATAGTAATTGAGTTAACAGCAAGTAGTACTTTAGTAGAGTTACCGTTGTACCGTACTATAGAAGGATAATAAAGGCTATTGTCACAAGAAGAGTATCACGGGGTACTGTACTTATTTTCCTTGATCCACTACATTAAGTACTAATAGGTACAGTACCCCGTAATACTCTTCTAAAAGTAGAAAGACGAGAAGTTCTCTGTAATGGGATACTGTAGTAGAATAGAGGTACTGTATCTAGTGTCAAATTCGTCTGTGAAATGGTTTCGATAGAGTAGCTCTACTCTCCTACTTCGGTAGAGTAACTACTGTAATTGTCGCTGTAGAAGTGTAGCATTACAATCAATAAGTGGGTACTGCAAGCAGTAGGAATAGTCTATGCAGGTCAAAGCAACAAAATTTCAATTTTTAGGTATGATGGCCCCACCAGGTGGCCCAATGGGTTTCATGGGTCCAAGAATGGGTTTTGGAATGGGTGGAATGACCGGCATGATGCCTGCACCTCAAATTCCGCATTGTCCCGTCGAGGAAGATTTCGCCTGTATGTCAATCGGATCATCAAAGAAAATGAAAAAAGACAAGAAAAATTGAGTTTTTTGATTGAAAAATTGAGAATATGTGATTGTTTTCATAAAAGAAAAAACCCCTAAAAATGATCTTCAATCGAGCAACCGGTCTATTTGTTTTTTGACATAATTTTCTTCAATTTTCTTCAACTTTTACTCACAATTGCAATTGTAAATAAATAGATTTAGTAATTTTTTGAAAAAAAAAGCATAAAATTCAGCTTGTAACACACATAAACATTTTCCTTTTGCACACCAATTTAGGCCCAGCACAGCTGTCTTTTTCAGAGAATAGTCAATTTTCAAAATTTACATTAAAAAATGTGCCTACGTGGCTTTCTCTTTCAACTCAGAGCTTTGATGCCAAAATCGGAGTAAACACTTTGAGCAAAACGGGAGATTTGTTCTCATTTTTTTCAGATTATTGACCGACTTTTTCATTGAACACATATTTGTTCGTATCCATGGTAAGCAGAAAAAGAAAATAAATAAATTTGTGAAAATTTGGTTTACAAAACAGCTGTTTGAGAAGGGATTTGATTGAAAATCGAACAAAATCCGTTTTCTAAAGGTTATCGGACGCCCCGCCCCTTTTGCTATTGCCATAACTTTAAGCTTAAATATCTTAGCGTTGGGCTATTCAATTCCAATATTCTTGATATCATTAGCTACGACAAGTCTTTCTCTGTCGATTGCTACAAAAACTATTTATATTGTACACCTGAGGCCAAGAAATTTGGGCTCAAAGTTAGATTGCCAATGGCAAAGGGGCCGGGGCGACCTTTTATACGCGCCCGCCCCTTTTGTCATTGGCAACTTTGAGCCCAAATATCTCGGTGTTGAGCTGTCCAATTTCAATCTTCTTGGTATCATTAGATTCGTCAAGTCTTTCTCTGTCGATTGGTATAAAAACTATTTAAATTGAACAGCCTAACACCTAGAAATTTAAGCTCAAAGTTTGATTACCAAAGCTACAAAGGGGACAGGGCGCCTATCAAATGTCAAAGTAAAACAGTTAACGACTACAAGACTGTACGCGTAAAACGTTAATCTGTTGCTAAACAAAGAACTTCAGGCTATGGGCCTAAGATTTAAGCACCGTAGAATCTAGAACCTCATTAGTTTATACTTATTACAGTGTTTGCGCTCAAATCCTCAAACTAAACTCCTCATTTTTCTCGTGAAACCACGGGAAAAATGAAAGAATTCAGTGTGCCAGAAAGAATGCGTTTACAAAATTCAAGCACAAATTACGTGACCAATTTTGGCATCAAAGCTCTTAATGCTTTTGAGGGAAAACCCAATCAAAACCAAGAAATGATCAACTCCATCAGAAAAGTGGGAAAATAAACTCCTCACTCAAAAAGTTTTTCCAAGCAAGCAAGCAAACAAAAAAGAAAAAAAAACGCGGCACAAATAACATTTTCCGTCTCAAAGATCTCACTTGAGTGAATGACCAATACCGTTTGTTTATTTGGTCAAAAGTTTGAATGTTTTTTTTGCTTTAAACTTTAGGGAATTGAGGATTTGAAGGGATTTTTTTTTAAAAGGCACCAATTTTAGACAAAATTACCGTAAATTTGCCATTCGATCAGCCTAATTTTGGTATCATTTGATAAGGGAAACACTAAGGATAATGATACAAAGATTGGGCTGATTGGATGAAAACTGGCGGGTGGATTACGGTAATTTGTCTGAAATTGGCGTCTTTAACATATTGGCGACAATACGGTCGGCTGTACATGGATTTAGCACTTTTTTTGAGGCCGATTTAGCTGAAAATTTGCACCAGGGGTTTTCGGGATCAATGAATTCGAATTTGTGCTTGGTTTTCAAAGAAAGCAGCTCTATTCGATATTTCATTCGGTTTAATTAGCGAAATTTTTAGAGAGCTTTGTGATGACCGTATTAGCTTTGAAATTAAAGTTTTGCTCAAAAAGTAATAACGAATTCAGTTTCTCTATCCCAGAATGCCACCCGGTTACAAATTTTCAGGTCTACAGCTAACTAAAATAGCTGTATACTCGTACAAAAGTCATTAGTCTCTAGCTTTTCTTTTCTAAGAAGCTAAGCTTTTCTAAGCTTTTCTTTTCTCACATGATCTCAAATGTAACTAATTATTGGAATTCCATAAAAAGCTCACAATATCAATGTCCCTTTTGTCCCTCCTCGACTCGGTTGCATTGCCCGCGAAGTTAACGCCATTTTCAATTGTTGCTCATCAATGCCGAGAAGACGAGAAGCGAAATTGCAAGAGATCTCACACCCTGGCGCCATTTTACTTCCATCTAAACATTGCATAAGATAAATATAACTATCGTAAAGCTAAAAATCAACCTAAATACCATATTTTGCAGTTAGAGAAACCTTTAAAACTTAGTAGACTCTTTAAAATTCATTCTGATAAACCAAAGAACAAGAGCCTAAGAGCTTTTGAAGGATTGATTACTTACGGAGACATTGAAAAGTCATTTTTTTTGGTACATAGCTTTTCATAAGTTTTTGCCTTATTGTAGTATCAATTTTCTAAAAATTTTTACCTTTTCCCCCATCCTCGTTCGCCACAAAGTCCACATTGCCGAGATGAAGCACAGCAGCAACAATGCTGGAAATTAGTGAACTTTGTTTGCTCGAAATTACTTAATTTGGATATTATTGAGTGAATGCATATGAAATGGTTAATCCATAATCAAAAGTTAATCAAAAGCAGAGCATTTCTCCACCAGAGCAGCTATTTAATTTCTGTTTGCTTAGAATAAAAAGTTCTAATCTTAATCTTAAGCTAATAAAAGCAGGAAAACTTTTTTATTTAACATGAAATTTTGAAGAACCTTTTCAACAGCTGAAATCTTTGGTTAAAAAGCTGATTATTGCATAAATTTTTACTAGCAATAAGTCATAAAAGAACTTTTTTTGAATCTGGTGATTGGTTGGGGAAATCTGAAAAAAATTTAGCAATTTTATATGCATTGACCCAATAATATTACAATTTGAATATTACAATAAGTTGGACCATCCAGTTTTCGATCAAAAGTCCAACCCAAGCCAGTTTTCGTTACTTTCTTTCTATAGTTGCTGTCTAGCAACCCAAAAAACTAGTTGGAGCTAAGTCGGCGCCGGGATTCGAACCCAGCGATCTCTCGCTTACCGGGCAAACGCTCTACCAATGAGCTACCGACACGTATCTCATTGCCGTATAAGGCCTTATGCCTTACTAACTTTTTAAAGCTGTCAAAGCCTCTAATATTCATAAAACCCACCCAATTACTTGCATGATCATCTCTCGATTCAATCCGCATTTCCCGAGGCAGCTGAGAAGATTCCGGAAATCGGCCGAATCGTCAACGACCGGATCAATGGTGGTTGAAGCCTGGAATGAAATTAATGCACCAGAAATGATGTGTTTAGAAGTCTGAGCTCAAAGTACATAAGAAACAGGGGGTATAGTAGTTGAAGTTCTAGTAGCAAAATCTTTTTTCGACAAATGAGCTGATTTTTTGCATCCAGGGGTTTTTGACTGTGCTGAATCGATTGGTTTCACACATTTCACAACTTTTAACGTTTATAACAAATCTACTGAAAACCTAATGTACTTATTCTGGGATGAAGTGACCAAAAAGTACTTGTTGACATTTTCTTGTTGTTATTTTTGTTGCTATTTGTTATAAACGTTATTAAAAGTTGTGTGAAACCATCACCAATCGATTCAGTATAGTCAAAAACCCCTAGATGCAAAAAAAACAGCTCATTTGGCGTAAAAACATTTTTGCTATAACATCTATAGCACCAAGAAACTTATAAAGAGCAAAAACAAACCCCTTTCGCGAAACGTTCCTTCAGAATTTTGTTCTCATTGCCTGGGCGAGCGAAAAAGTTCATTGAGCCTCGGCGGAGATACTAAAATTGATGATAGAAAGTGGAAAAAAAATGCAATCTTACATGAAATTTCTCCGGTGAACCGAGTCCAAACGTTTTATACATTCCCTCATCAGCTCCAGCGATCAATTGATAGAAAATGTGATAGTTTCGCTCTCCTAAATATGACTTTTGTTGAGTAATTACCGTAAATATTGTAATAGTACCCCACCGCCTCCCTCGTACACTCGCGTAGTCGCAAAAGTCTTTTAGTATTTCATTTTTTTCAAAGCGCCCGTACTTTCCGCCCGTACTTTCAAAAAAATGCGTCTTTGTTATCAAAAAATAGCTGAAATTCAGGGCCATTTTTTGATACCTAAACGCGCATTGTAGCATAAACCAGTGTCGAGAAAAACTCGTTCAAAACTAGACTACGCAACACTCCGCACCGTCATTATGGGGGTGGGGTACTATTACAGTATTTACGGTAGTAATTACTTACTCGCAAAGAACTCGATTAGAGTGCGTTCTTTGCGAGTAAGTAATTACTCGAGTCAAATTTGTGTATGAGTCATTTTTTTACGCGATTAATCGACATTTTTTCGTCGAATAACTACGAGTAATCCTCTTTACACGGCGAGTAAATTGAATATCTTTACATTTGAAGGGAATTCGTCGCTAAAATCATTTAAATAGCTGAATATCTTTATATTTGAAGGGAATTCGTCGCTAAAGCAATTAAATAGCTGAATATCTTTACATTTGAAGGGATTTTGCGACGAAAATCATTTAAAAAGCTGAATATCTTTACATTTGAAAGGAATTCGTCGCTAAAGCAATTAAATAGCTGAATATCTTTACATTTGAAGGGAATTTGTCGCTAAAATCATTTGAATAGCTGAATATCTTTACTTTTGAAAGGAATTCGTCGCTAAAGCAATTAAATAGCTGAATATCTTTACATTTGAAGCGAGCTTGTCACTAAAATCATCTTAATAACTGAATATCTTTACATTTGGAAGGAATTCGTCGTCAAAACGATTTAAAAAGCTGAACATCTTTACTTTTGAAGGGAATTTGTCACTAAAGTCATTTAAATAACTGAATATCTTTAGATTTGAAAGAAATTTGTCACTAAATCACCTAAATACCTGAATATCTTTACATTTGAAGGGAAAATTGACAAAACTCACCTTTCGTTTGTGTACAAATTCTCGACTTCTCGAGTAAATAGTGAGAGACAAAACCGCCAGTGACAAGGTGCTGAAAGATTACTGTAGAATTTGAATTATTGTAGAATTCCTCTACCAAAACTACTGCACAGCCGATCTCACCTTGTTGTTGAAATGGATCTCGACGAATTTTCCGAATCGAGAGCTATTGTTGTTGCGAGTCGTTTTCGCGTTTCCGAATGCCTCCAAAATCGGATTCGCTAGAGTTTTCCTTAGATTTCGTCTCTCAATTTCCCACTCACTTTCCAATAATCTTTGCTGAATCGGGCCGGCTTCTTTTCCCCAATTCTCACACAAATATTTCAGCACAGCTTTTTGACTCTCCGTTTTCCCAGCTCCCGATTCGCCGGAAACGATTACCGATTGGGATTCGCCTGTTCGACGCATGTCACGGTAAGCTTTGTCAGCTGAAAGAAATGAAAGATGAAAGAAAAAGATCTAGATTAAATTCTAGATCTACTAGATCTACTAGATTAAATACTTGTTTTGGATTTAAAAATAGAATTGTTTCAAAGATTTTCCGAATCTAGTGACTCAGAAATTAGGCCTGGTTTACTGCAGGATTGATTGAAACATTGGTTCACTATTGTCAAAGCAAGACAAGGTCAGAGTCCAGATCTCTTCATTGCACTGGTTTAAAAGCCTGATAAGGCCAAGCCAGTCATCCTTGTATTTACTTGTACTTTCACTAAAGCTCTGTCTTTTGACAGAGCTTTAGTTCTCTTTCTTTTTGTCATTTATACTAGATCAATTTCTTGTCATTGCTTTCAAAACAGAGGCTAGATAGAAGCCAGATTTGGAGCTAGAGACTTACTAATCGATTAATGATCTTTAAACAAGATTTAGCCTTGTTTCTAATGAAAAGATTCTTTTCAAAACAAACCAAGCGCATAGATATGCGGAGGCATTTGTCCTAAGGATTTCCCCCGATACGAGGCGATCGTTTCGTTCGAGTAGAGGCCGCGTTGCGTTTCGTAGGGATTGATGGAGATGAGGATGTTCGCGACATAGGTCTAGAGATAATCTATAGATAATCTATTGATACTTATAGATGGCTTGTAAACAGGTAAAGGCCAGGTTAAGGTCTGGCTTTTGTCCAAGAACTCAAGTGAGGCTAAGTAAAGCTTGAGCAAGAAGTCAGTCAAGTAAGGAGCCACGTCTTTGGCCTAGCCAGCTCTTGATCTGATTTAGATCTTGATCTAGATCCAACCGAGCCCATAAATCAGGATCAACCAGAAAGCCAGGATTTGGCTTCCGATCTTGCTTTGCCTTTTCTGGCCTAGCTCGATTCGATATTTAGCCTAATCTGCATCTTGCTGTAGCCCAATTCTGATAAATATTGCACCCAGACTCACATAGATCTGTTTCTTTTGGTATCGTCGATGACAATTGTGCAATAGAGTTCCTTCATTCAAATACATCAGTGCACCTAGAGGAATATTTAAATAAGTTTTCTTTATCTATCAAAATATAGCTAGCTCACAATTATCATCAACGGTTTTTTCGAGATTCTCATCCGCTGGAAAGACATCATCGTGCTTAGCTTGGATCTGGAAAGATGGATTTGAAGCTGGGTTTGAAACTGGGTTTGAAACTAGATTTGAAGCTAGATTTAAAACTGGATTTGAAGCTGGGTTTGAAACTGGATTTATAGCTGGATTTGAAACTGGATCTGACACTGGATTTGAAGCTGGCTTTGAAACTGGCTTTGAAACTAGATTTGAAATTGGATTTGAAGCTAGATTTGAAACTGGCTTTGAAACTGGATTTATAGCTGGATTTGAAACTGGATCTGACACTAGATTTGAAACTAGATTTGAAACTAGATTTACAGAGAAACCTATTGCAAAGAATTGTAATCCTGTAATACTAAAGTATTCCTAAATATGCAAATCACTTATTCAATATAAATTTCTAACCGTTTGCTTATTATCTCGTCGTTTAATGGACAGCGTCTCGGAGCCGATGTCGACGATATCACCAAGGATATAACTAAAGAGATGTTTTGTTAAAAAGTTGAAGTAGAAAGGTGAAAAGTTTCATTTTCAAGCTAGAATTCGATCATACAAGATTCACAGATCAAATCCCCAACCCAAGTACTGAATCCGGAGCCCAAACAACTCTCTCAAAGCCGGCAAGTGGAGGAGAAACGCCGACGCTACTCCGTCGTTTCTCATTCGTTTTCATTTGAGCTAAAATCGATTAAATAGCCAAATTTGATTAAATAAACCAATTTTTTGTTTTAAAATATTAAAATTTGAAATAAACTTTGAAATAAACGTAATCTTACGCTTATTTTCTATTGAATTAACTCAAATTTTTATCAAATTCAATTTTGGATTAAAAGATTTATTTAATGATATATTTATTTAATGATATTTATTTAATGATATTTGTTCTAATCAAATTCTAATCTGATCACTGACTAGATTACAATAGTTTTGATGTTTTTCTTTAGAAAAAGGGATTAGTTGCATGATTAGTTGTTTATTTAAAACCATTTGAATAACTACAGTAACCTTTGGGATTACTGAAGGTTTTTGGTGGCCAAAAAAACAAACCGAAATGCTCGTGAAGATTCCCAACTTTATACCCATCATTGTACATTTGTTCCTTTTCTTTCGTAAAGCCTTTTTATCTAGAAAAAAAGAAAATTTGAGTCCACCAGAAAGCGTGCGTTTGTAATATAAAAGTAAAACCAAATTTCTCTAAAGATATTCGTCAAATGACCAGTTGGCCGACTGGTTAGGAATCTTCTCTCCTAATCGGAAGATCCAGGGTTCGATCCCGCTGGCGAAATCAAGTGTGTGTTCTTTTTCCCATTAAGTTGGGTTTTTTCTTAACTACATTGTAGGGGTAAAAATTGTGTCCTCCGTTGTGTTGTATCCACTTATTCATGTTGAATAAAGTATCTTTTAAATGTAATTAGTTTTTTGGAAATTGAAGCTATAAAAGAAATCTTTAATTTGTTTTTAATTTGTTTTTAATTCTCTTTTATATATCATCAAAATGATTAAAAATGAAGAAATACTTAATATTTAATCTTTTTTTATAGAGAAAGTTGTTATAGAGAAGTTACAGAAGTTACAGAAGTTACAGAAGGTACAGAGGGTACAGAAGGTACAGAAGTTAGAGAAGCTACAGAGGTTAGACAAGGTATAGAAGTTACAGAAGTTACAGAAGTTACAGAAGTTAGAGAAGGTACAGAAGTTACAGAAGTTAGAGAAGCTACAGAGGTTAGAGAAGGTATAGAAGCTACAGAAGGTACAGAAGGTACAGAAGTTACAGAAGGTACAGAAGTTACGGAAGATACAGAGTTAGAGAAGGTACAGAAGTTACAGTAAACAATAGCTTCACTCTGAGCTTAAATCTCTAAACGCACCGTTTCTAGTGCTTTCTAGTGCACTTAATTCCTTATTCTTTTATGTTACCGCGAGAAAATGGAGAATTCAGTACACTAAAAAGAATGCGTTTACAGATTTTAGCACAAAATCTATTCGCTAAAGTGAAGGAAATTTGAAAAAAATAATAAGCAGCCGATTTTTTCACAAGAATATTTGTTATCTTTAGGTCAGAATCAATTTTTTTTTCTTGATGAATCATAGAAATTCTAACTGACTACCGTTTTTCAAAGAATTGCTGTTAGCTGATAGATGTTTTAGATTAAATTTAGATGTTTTCGATCAGCTTTAGATCGAATTTAGATGCTTTAGATCAATTTTAGATCAATTTCAGATGCTTTAGGTCAGTTTTAGCTCAAATTTAGATCCTTTAGATCAATTTTAGATCAAATTCAGATGTTTTCGATCAGCTTTAGATCGAATTTAGATGCTTTAGATCAATTTTAGATCAATTTCAGATGCTTTAGGTCAGTTTTAGCTCAAATTTAGATCCTTTAGATCAATTTTAGATCAAATTCAGATGTTTTCGATCAGCTTTAGATCGAATTTAGATGCTTTAGATCAATTTTAGATCAATTTCAGATGCTTTAGGTCAGTTTTAGCTCAAATTTAGATCCTTTAGATCAATTTTTAGATCAAATTCAGATGTTTTCGATCAGCTTTAGATCGAATTTAGATGCTTTAGATCAATTTTAGATCAATTTCAGATGCTTTAGGTCAGTTTTAGCTCAAATTTAGATCCTTTAGATCAATTTTAGATCAAATTCAGATGTTTTCGATCAGCTTTAGATCGAATTTAGATGCTTTAGATCAATTTTAGATCAATTTCAGATGCTTTAGGTCAGTTTTAGCTCAAATTTAGATCCTTTAGATCAATTTTAGATCAAATTCAGATGTTTTCGATCAGCTTTAGATCGAATTTAGATGCTTTAGATCAATTTTAGATCAAATTCAGATGCTTTAGGCCAGTTTTAGCTCAAATTTAGATCCTTTAGATCAATTTTAGATCAAATTTAGTTGCTTTAGATCAGTTTTAGCTTAAAGTCAAACTTTTAAACTTTTTAAACTAGGCATTTTTGGAGGAAATCTCAAAAGAAAAAGAAAACTCAAATTCAGCTTTTTCATGTGTGTTTTTTTTGCGTTCTAAAAGAGTGTTTTTGACTTGGCTCCTTAAAAAGGTTAAAATAAGGGTTTACTTTACTAGAAGACGATCAAAAAATGGTTAAAAAGCGGTCAAAAATGGTTAAAAACGGTCAAAATGGCTAAAAATGGTCAAAAATGACTAAAAAGCGTTCAAAAATGGCTAAAAACGGTCAAAAAAAATGGCTAAAACTGGTAAAAAATGGCCTACAATATGTATTTTGTACTAGATAAAGAAAAATGTAGACTAATAGAATAAATTTGGATATGTAAAGATGAATATTTGTACAATTTGTGATATGTAATGTGATATGATTCAAGGCATAACGAAAGAGATATCCTCTTTCGTTTCAGATAAACACTTGAAAAGGAAAAGAAATAATTGGAAGTAAATAATCGAAGAAATTTTTGATGAAAAGATACAAGGGATTGGCTGAAATGGAAATTAAATCTCTTTGAGTTAGAAAATTAAATAATAAGATAAAGTCGACGATCTACAAATTATTGTAAAACTTCTAATATAGGTACAAGCTCCAATAGAAAATACATTATAAAAGAAAAAAAACTTTGTTTTGCATTGGCGCTATTTTGGGTACGGCGCTATTTTGGGTACGGCGCTATTTTGGGTACGGCGCTATTTTGGGGACGGCGCTATTTTGGGGACGGCGCTATTTTGGGGACGGCGCTATTTTGGGGACGGCGCTATTTTGGGGACGGCGCTATTTTGGGGACGGCGCTATTTTGGGGACGGCGCTATTTTGGGTACGGCGCTGTTTTGGTGGCGCTATTTTGGTGGCGCTATTTTGGATGGCGCTGTTATTTTGGATGGCGCTGTTATTTTGGATGGCGCTGTTATTTTGGATGGCGCTGTTATTTTGGATGGCGCTGTTATTTTGGGTGGCGCTGTTATTTTGGGTGGCGCTGTTATTTTGGGTGGCGCTGAAATATCATATTTGAAAAAAGATCGTCACTTTCGCGCGTCTGTAACTCCCTTGTCTTTACCGTATTTCTAAATATTATTATTACCATTGTGTAGCCCTTGAAAAGAGCTTTCAGAAAATGTATAACACTAATAATAATAATACTTTATTCAAACGATAAAGTGAAAGAAATCATAGAGAAATGCACAGTGATACTTAATCATACAATACATACTGAAATCAATAAGCCAATTACTTACGGCAAAGAGCCACTAGATCTAAAGCATCGATACGTTTCTTGAATATGAAAAGCGACTGAATTTCTCGTATGTCGTTTGGGAGCAAGTTCCATAATCTAGCGGCTCTAACGGGAAATGAATTTGATAAAGAGGCATTGGAAGCAAAGGGAATTTGCAAAAGGAATGAGCCACTTCTGGGCCCTGACCGCGGTTTAAATTTGAAAAAGTCTATAAACAAAGGGCTAATCTGTTTACAACGGAGGATTTTGAAAGTTTCGGCTAAATCAATGACAAAGCGACGATGCTGTAAAGTTTTTAGTTCAAAAAAAGCAAGTCTCTCCTCATAAGTTAAGCTAGAATATTTAGAATAGTCAATTTTCCATAAAGCGACTTTTATGAACCTCCTCTGAATTTTCTAATAGTTTAAACTCAAAGACAATGGAGTTACAGACGTGCGAAAGTGACGATCGTTTTTCAAATAGATATTTCATTGTCCAGTACTGTACATGCTCCAATAAACGTACACTCTAGGTAGCACTAGAAAAATATCAAAGAAAATATCGAAAAATAGACGTACATGCTCTATTAGACGTATTTTCTCTAATAGTAGTGCACTCCGTCGAGCCGAGTTGATAACTATTTTACGGCTTCCAAAGTTTTCCCAGAAGCTCAACACTCTAATCCCCCACTAGATCTCATCGTCAGCTACATTTTCCGACCCCACATCGATAGGTTCTGATAAGCGGTTCTCGAGATTTCGAGGAATTTAAGCAACGCTCAGGATCCACTCTATTAGAGAAAATACGGTATCTTTGAATATTTAATCTTTATTTAAATCTTTATTTAAATCTTTATTTAAATCTTTGAATATGCTCAAATTTTTATCAAATAAGTGCTCTTGATTTTACAATAATTTGTCGACTCTCAATTTTTGTTGGGGTAATTGAACCGAGTCAATCGATCTGCTTTCTGCTAGATCGCTTCGTTTACTAGACTAGCTAGACATTCACTTCTATCCACATCTAAACGCAACCTTTCTAGCGCACTGAATTCTTTAGATTTCCCGTTGCAATGCTTTGGTTTTACAAGAAAAATAAGGAATCAAGTGCATCAGAAGGTTTGTGTTTACAGATAACACACAAAGAACGCTACAGGAAACCGGATTATTAGATGAATAATGTCTAGAAAAATCAAAAAGGTTAAAATGATTGAATATTTAACGCTTTCTAGAATGATTTACAAATATAAAAAGGTATAAAAGTATAAAAGAATTAGGGAAATTTAAAGATAAGTAAGAAAATCGACGATGATGTGAATATTTTGAAATCTCTTACTGACGTCATCTCTTACTGATTTTCGGGTGCCTTCTCGCGTAAAAGTGTTCAAAATACGAGCTTATAAAGTGAGAAAAGATAAGAAATGACTGTGTTTTGGAGAAAAGAAACAAATATTTGCGCTTCTTTGGTGAGCATGAATAAAAACAAACTTTTGAGTTAAAAATGAAGAAGTTTCAATATTTTTTTGCTCCAGAGCATGAAAGGATAAGTATGAACAATTTGACAACAGGAATCAGTCAAAAAGCGACAATTCCCCTAGAAGGGTTTAAGGAATTGATTGATTGAATTGATTAAGGAACCCAATCGCTAAAGTCCAAATTAAGCACCGTTTGAAAAAAAACGAATTTGCTTAGCGGGGGATTGAACCCCCGACCTTCCGATTAAGATACAAGGCTATTATCCAGTCGGCCATAGGGACTACTAGAGGCCCTTCTGAAAAAGGTGAATTTATTGGGCGCGGCCCGAAATTGATGGACGCAATCGCCAATGACCTCGAAAAATTTGTTTTACCTATGAAAATATAGACTTATAGGCAATCGGACACGCTGAATCCAACAAAAATAATTCTAGCACTTAATTGGGAGGTCCGGGATTGAACTCCCGACCTCCCGATTAAGATACAAGGTTTTTATCCACTCGGCCATGAGGGCGACTTGAGGCCCCCTGAAAAATGCGAATTTATTGGGCGGGGTGCAATCGCCAATGGCCTCGAAAAATTAGCTCTATCCATGAAAATTTACATTTATGGGTAATCGAACACGCCGAATCCAATAAAAATAATTTCTGCACTTGATTTTCAGCACCTTTCAATGATTTCCTCGTTTTCTTCATACTGAAATTCATTCAAAAACTTTTCTGTTCAGCCTAGAACTGAATTCTTTCAATTTATTGACCGATTGGTGCCAGCTTGTTTTAAAAAGGTTAAAAAATGGCTGAAAAAGGTGCTGAAAGTATTTTTTATTGAATTCACCTTGCGCAATTGCATATAGATGTAAATTTTCATGGAAAAAAGCAACTTTTCTCTGTGCGAAATTGCAAAATTCGCAAATACATTCCGAAATAAGTCTTTCAAGCGAAATAATTTGCATAAAGAGAGCCTAAATTAGCATGCAATGTGTCCAACAATGATAAAAATATAAAATTAAATGAAATAAATGAAAAATTCAAACTCATAGCCATCAGTTTGCCGATTTTTTTTGACTAAGACCCGAATTCTCTGCATTTTATCTCTTTCCCTTTCCCCGTTTCCACCTTTTTTCTCATTCTTTTCCCTCATTTCCCCTTTTTCTTTTCTTTTTTTCCTTATTTGTGCTCTTTTGGCCTCTTTTTTTCTATAGAAATAGCTATTCTGAAGGCTTTTCTATCGATTTTCCCTTTTCCCCTTTCGTAACTCGATTTTTCGTTGATTTTCTACCAAATAAACAAATAAACAAATAAACAAATTGAAAAAACATATCTCTATATACATATATAGATATAGATGCTTTATTCAGGGGGTGAATAGAAGCTAATCAAAAAAATCATAACCGCATCTAACATATTGCTACAATACTTTCAAAAAAAAGAAAGAAAACTAAGAATAGCACGGTAAAACTAAAGTTTGGAGACACAGGTACAAAAAGATTAAATATAGAGCAGATTCGACAGATCTAATTCGTCTAATGTACAGAATCTAATGTACAGAATCTACTGTACAGAATCTACTGTACCTAATCTAATGTACAGAATCTAATGTACAGAATCTAATATACAGAATCTAATATACAGAATCTAATATACAGAATCTAATGTACAGAATCTAATGTACAGAATCTAATGTACAGAATCTAATGTACAGAATGCTCGCAAGAAAACAGGCTTTCAAATGAGCTAAAAACCATAACAATTCATTGGCAAAATAATTAGTTAATTTGAACTTTTTTGCAAGTGACCGCGAAATCTAGTAATTAGAATTTCTAATAATTAGTAATTAGAATTTCTAATAATTAGTAATTAGAATTTCTAACAATCTAATAATTAGAAAACAAAGTGATGTCGTAATTGTTGAACGATCACGTTTAGCTAGTATTTTTTAACATCTACCGTAGCTTTTTCTGCTTACCGTACCCCAATTTGTAGTCCTTGGCCCAATTACCGTAACCAAGATCATAATTTAGTGAAAATGAAGAATTCATTGGTCAGAAGGGATGCGTTTACAGATTGCTTACAATTGCTTACAATTGCTAAATTGAAAAGTATTCAGTTGAAAGTAAAACACAGATAACGTTCTTCTCTAAAGCTCTCCTCTAAGTTCTTCTCTTCTCTTCATTGAGGTCAATGTCCTCGAATAAAATCTCTTGTCAAAAAAAGAGAAAAAGAAAAAGAGAGAAAAGAAATAGAAAAAGAAAGAAAAGAAAAGAAAGAAAAGACAAGACGAGCGTCCAAAATCCCGAATGCATGACTCACATCGACTTGGAAAATAGAAAAAACAAAAAGAGACGCTAGACACGAACTTTTACATTAATTTTGAGTATGACATTCGTATGGCATTCGACATTTGTGTACATTCGTACTCACTGTAAGTACTAAAGTAGAAACAATACAGATATACGAATGTACAATATACAGTTTTTGGCTTACAAGAGAATGTTCAAAAGTGACCGTGGCATTTCGGCACCAAAATGAGGTGTAAACACAAGTCGAATACGGTCATCACGATGGTGCTTTCGGAGTTTGCCAAGAAGCTATAGTTTTCGAGAAAAACGTGTTGCAAGTTTTGGTATCTACTCGGGAAACGGGCGCGCGAGGTTCAGTCGCCTCCTCTACTTTCTTCTGCCAGCACCCCGGTGGTCTAGTGGATAGTGGCAACGTCGACCAGGCCTACGCCACTTTTTGCCACGAGTTCGAATCCCCTCCGTGGCAAACATTTTTGCACCTTCTTCAAAAGTTTCAAAAGTTGAAAAGCATTTTTAACAGTATCTGAATGTTTGGGGAAGTTATGCGATATTAAGCCCAAAAAGAGTCACGACTGGACTATATATAAACTTTTCAATGATTTCAATGACAATGATTCAATAAATGTATTCCAGCTGTTTTTTTTTATTTAACATTTATCGCGTAACTATTAGGTACTTGCAAATGGAATTGTGGGTCATAAAAACCATCAAACAACGATATGCAAGTAAAGATGATCCGGGTTGATTAGTATTTTTAGAAACTCCAATATCTTCTCTTTTTAATGATTTAAAAAGAATTATACAGCGTTCGTTTCTGGCAGAATATAGACTTTTCAAAAAGGTACGATTTCACCGATTGATTATGCAAAAATAGTGGAATTCAATACGCGGAATGAAATTGAATTGAAGTGAATTCCACAAAATAGTGGAATTTGATTCAAATTTTCAAATCATTTTCTCAAAAAAGCAAAAAGAATCTACTGGGAGCGAACTCGAACTCGGGGAAAAAATACGCGTACCATATTCTGGAGGCGAGTACACTACCCACTGCGCCACTAGTTCACCGTTTAAGGGAGAATAAAAGCTTACAAGAACTCCGAAAATCGGCCTAAACTTTGATGCCAGATATCTCGCGTTACAGAGCTCCATTGGAAAAAGTAAAAGAATATTCAGAATCAGCATAGTCGATTCTATAAAACCCTGGGCTTTGCCCTAATGCCTTTTTCTAGTTAGAACAAGATTACGGTAGTCGAGAAAGTGACACATTTTAGAAAGCCAAGAGAGAATTCTAATCAGTAAATCAATGGGGGTCTGTTTTTAGAGGTGAGTTGACCTGAAATGACCTGAAAGAGTGATCTAGAAGGTGAGCCCACAAAAGGGGTGTCAATATGTCATCCAAAGGGGGTCGACCACAACAAATAAACACAAAACCCTTCTTCCACCTTGCAGCCTCACTTTTTCTCTCACTGATGTGAATCATTAAGCGAAAAGTTGGGAAAACGTGAGTCAAATAAAATCAATGCTCAATTCAAAAAAGGTTTTTATGGAAATTTCACGTTTAACCTCTTCAAGATGGAGTTGATTTTGGGTAATTTGAGTCACACTGAAAACCAAAAACAGGAATACCTAGCTTATTTGCTTAGTATATAATTATTTGAATACCTAGCTTATTTGCTTAGTACTTAATTGTCGTCATGATTGTCGCAACAAGATAAAGTTCTGATTTTAAGGCAGACAAGAACAAAAAAGACAAATTTTTAACTGAACAACATTTATTGTACATTAACAATTATAAATGAACTGTCAAATTCGAATCGGTCACCGTTAGCATTTGAGCGTTTCGGGAAGGCGTCAACGGTGGTGACCATAACTGATCTGCTCTCAATTTTCGCTTTAGCGGCATTCGAAAAAAGTTGAAACTTGTTTTTCTTGTAAGCAGTAAGTTTGAGCTTATTTTTGAGGATCCGACGCAATGAGGTGCTTGAAATCGCCATCTTCTTTGTCATTTGCCTTGACGACTGATTTGCCTTCTTCTGATTTGACTTCCGAATTCGGTCCCTGACTCGCTTGATGTTTGTCTTTGTAACAACAGTTGGGCGTCTACTGCTTCTTGGTGCATCAGCAATTGTTCCCGTAGCTTCGTAGCGTTGAATAGTGCGGAACATGGCACTTGTGTCGACTTTAAAACGACATGAATCTCCGGTTTTCGGTGAGTTTCAGATAATTTTTAAATTTCCAAATACTAATCTTAGGTGACCCGTGGTTCCGTCAATACTGTCATCACTTCAATCGGAGAAAACGATCGGCTTTTCGAGGCCGCTCAATGCAACTAGTGGATGAGGAGAACACGCACAAACAAGCATTTGATCAATTTTTGCATGTTTTTGTCACAGATTCGTCACTTTTATCTTTGTCACATCAACAAAAGGCTAACGGCTTTAAGTTTTTCTGCACTTTTGATATCTACCAATCGCCACAAAACTTTTATTCGTTAAATTTCAAGAAATACTAGTTAAGATTATTAATGAATATTGGATCCTCTGACACATAGCTATCAAGATTGCCAGCAGCTGATGAGCCCTCCGGGCGGACCTAATTTGATGTGTTCAAAATTCTTTGGGTTAGCTACCATTTTCTTTTTGTATGTGCGTTTAAGCGTAGTATTAAATATTTGGTTAACCTACCTCTTGGATTGATCCCAAATCTTCACCGGGCGGAATTTCCAAACTTTCATCGGCTTTACGGTTGGTGCTGTTCAGTTGGTGTTGTTCTGGGTCCCAGTGCTGAAGCTGAACAACATTTTTGGTTTTTGTCATTTAAAGAAGAACAACATTTCAAACATTTGCTTAAATTTCTTCTGAAAATCATCAAGCATCAACCATCAAGCATAGTAAAACCTACATCTTGGATTGATCTCAAATCTTCGCCGGGCGGAATTTCCAAAATTTTATCGGTTTCAGGGTTGATGTTGTTCGGTTGGTGTTGAGCTGGGTCCCAGTGCTGAAGCTGAACAGCATTTTTGGTTTTTATCATTTAAAGAAGACATACTTTCGTTTCAAACATTTGCTCAAATTTCTTCTGGAAATCATCAAGCATTCTCGAAATCATTTTTTGAATCTCATCTTTGGCTTTTTCCGCTCCATTCAATTTGATACTTTCCTGGTTTCTTTTCAAATCCCTTAAGCAAACTTTTCTCTCACCTGACCTTTCTTCGCTTCGTGCTCATCTTTCGGTAGTTTTGGTTCAATAGGTTTCTGAATACAGCTCTCTTCTTGACTGGAAATGTTACCAACCAATTGATCTCTGATTTTCTCGAGAATATGCAGATTGGCTAGCGCGATTTCATTGATTCCGGAAGGCTGGGTTAACTTTTCCTAAAAAATATTGGGAAAAGGGAAATAACAAAGCGAACCAGAAGCTTTTGATCGGGATTGTTGGCGATATTGTATGAAACTGGCTGTGGATGCTTGGATGAAGGTGATGGGGGCCTAAAGGTATATGAATCAAAAGAAATAAATTAGAAATTACAATTTTCATAAAAATGCAAGACAACTTACCGTAAATACTGTAATTGGACCCCATGGGGTACTATTTTTTCCCTCCCCCCCCCCTCTAGGGTGGGGTACTATTAGAGGGTGGGTTACTATTTTACACCACTATCAAGTTACCAAACCAGGATACATTCAAATAATTTGTTCAAAAGCAAACTTTTTCTTTAGTTTTTATTGGTTTTAACCATCTGAAAATTTAACAGCAAAACGAAACAAAAACAACTAACAAGCTAAATCAATAGAAACATCCGAATCAATGAATTCATCATTTTCTTGATCATCAATTCCTCGATGTCCTTGAAATCCCGTCGATGCGAGCGGCTCCAAGAGGTCCTCGATTTTTGTCTCTGTCCGAGCATTTCTCATCGCCTGTAAGTAAAATAGATTAAAGATAATAACTAAAGATAAGTCCACCGAAAGAGCGTTGCAAGTATTTCGCCGTGATCTCATTATCGAAGCACTTGCTTTTCTTCTCTATCGAACAGAGCAATAACTTCGATTGGAACTTTGTCTCGATGTTTTTGTTCATCGCCTTCCGAGGCACCACAAAGGGCGCAACTTTTTCCCATCGGAACGACCAGTGAGCATCACGGATATATTCATCTTGTCGTAGCCGCGGGTGAGAACACCAACTTCTTTGGCTCTAACCGCTTCGATCCACTTGCTCATCGAAGCACCTAGCCAAACCGCCGTCTCATCGCAAGCAACCATGTGCTTGTAATCGCCTTTTTTGATTGTCTTGTTCAGCCTCAGAATGTGCTCGACGATGGCCTTCTCAAATTCGCTCGGCAGCTTTTGACAAGTTGTTGTTGGTGTCCTCAAAGAAAGTTGGTGGCGCCTCAAGAACGACTCCATCCAGCCATGGCTTCTTTTGAAAGAAATTTCAGCTTTTTCAAATCGATTGGCCGCTTCATTCCAGATAATCCGGCGTGTCACTCGTTTCTTCTCGGCTCGACGATCCCGTATCCATTCAGCCAAACCGATATCAATCCCCTCCAGTTCAAGTGGCTTCTAAGTGGTTCAAGTCTTCTAAGTATCTTTATAATTTTGGTGTTACTTTGTTGCACTTGTTGAGACCTACAATCATAAAGATTGGCCCACTCAGAAGAAAGTTATGGCGAGCTGCGCAAAAAATTTGGCGCAAAGTAGCCACCCCAAATTTAAAAACAACAAATTTATGGGATAAAATTAAAAATACAAACGATTTCTGAAAATACATGAAAATTCTCCGCTTTAAAAGCGTTGTTTGTAATTACGCGTTAGGTGGGGGTGGCGTACTATTAGAGGGGGTGGGGTATTATTTTTTCCCTTCCCCTCTAGGGTGGGGTACTATTAGAGGGGGGGTCCAATTGCAGTATTTACGGTAAGCATTATTTTTGAAAACTAACACCGGATACTCAATTGAAAGCTCTCTCAGTTTCTCTGACTTCAAAAACCTCAGGCATAGTAGAATTCTGTCTATCTAAATTGAGACAATTTTGCAGGTTGCTATGAATCGCCCTGCATTTCCCACTTGCGGCCTCTTTCCGAGAAAATGCTGGGTTGGCGCTTTACAGCGTGGTAAAAGTACCGTACCCCTCCAGCTTGCGCGAAATTTCATTTTTTCCTCATTCTTGTTCACTTCATTTTATTCTTTTTGCGTTTCTTCAACTAAAAAGCCACAAAAACAAAGCTTCTGCCATCAAAAATAATAAAAACCACTTAACTTAACATTAGTTGGCATCAAGTTCGTGGAACAGATCGTCGGGAAGCAAGTGGGTCTAAAAAACCCTAGAACAAAGCTTCCGCCACAAAAAATGACGTTAACTTAACTTTATCCTCCTTTTCCTGCAAAAACAAACGCGATCACATCAGAAAAACGCAAAAAGAATAAAATGAAATGAACAAGAATGAAAAAAATTACATTTTGCGCAAATTAGGATGGGTACGGTAGTTTTACTACGCTTTAAAGCGCCAACCCAGCATTTTCTCGGAAAAAAGTCGCAAGTCATTATCCTTAACCTCCAGAGCGATTTTCATTTGCGCAGCGCTGGTCTGAATCTTGTCAAATCTCCCTCCATATCCCAGAAAACGCAGAGCATAAACTTCTTCTGGTGCAAATCGGGCTTGGGGTCACTTTCGGGTTTCTCGCCTGGCCCCATTGCCGCTTCCTTCGAAAGTTCACAGATAAAACCCATTTTTCATCTCCTGTCACAATTCGAAGAAGAAAAAATTTCCTTTCTTAACGTGAGAGATGGGCGGCGCGCCACTTCTAGGGGTCAGTGAGGTCATGGGGCACCCAAGCCCCAAGTTTCGATTTAAATCCAAGGGTATGAAGGTGCTTTAGCACTGTAGCATGATCAACCCCTAACTCTTCTCCCAGTTCACGCGATGACACCCGATGGACGTTGATAATAAGTTCGAGTAACTTGGAGTCATCCAGTTCGGGTGCCGCTCCACGGCCCTCTGCATCTTTCAAAGATTTGTCCCCAGATCGGCACTTGGAAAACCATACTTGACACGTTCTTTCGGAAAGTGAGTCCTCCGTATATATTTTTTTTAATATTAGCAGCTGCCAAGCCTGCACTGTGCTCTTGTAGGAACTCATGAAGCATCACATGACGCATATGTTCCGGTGGCAGATTCTGAAAAATTGTTCCGGTGGCAGATTGTCGAGTGCAATAGAAGAAGTGAAGAAATAGACCAAAGCAGTTTTCAATGCAACAACCCAATAGAAAAAATGGTTAAATTTTATGCAGTGGCAAAAATTCAAAACTTTTGTCCTCTAAACTTGTGTTAAACTGATGATTAGATTCTGACTTTGAGCTTTGATATAATCGAGTATCAACAAACAAATGTTTATCGCATTCGTAGTTTTGTAGACCTTCAATCTACATCCACAATCAATTTTATGGCATGATTGGCTTTGGACGAAAGGACAGCTGAGTCAGGCCAGCCTCCAGCTCTTCCAGGACCATCTTTTTGTCGTTCTCATTGCGTTCACGGAGTTGCTCTTCATTTTTTGGTTGACTGCTAGCCGACTTCTCTTGATAGGTTTTCTGAAATCCAAAAAAATGAATCTTCTGTACAGCTTTTTGTGCTAACATTGAAAGCCCTCAGAAACGGATGCTTTAGACACTCGTCGGCACTGAGTCTCTTCTGACGATCGGGATTCAGCATCCCGGTCACCAAATCACGGAAATTTTTGCCTAAGATTCATTTATCCTAAGTTTTTAAACAGTCCATTGCCTGTTATTTCGCTTTGGTCTTCATCTTTGATTGTTCGCCTGGTCTCGTTTATCAGCACCACTTCGAGCGACTTGAGGACCTCATAAACTCGATCTATGATCGCGTTCTCGACGCCGCGATGACGAACCTAAACTCTTGAATCTTCCCATCACAACCATAAGCAGAGTTTGTTGCTATCAACTAAAGCATGTCACAAAGCTACCTACAAGCTACCGTAGCCAGGTCGTTTGCTCATTCAGACTTTTTACTTTGATACTAACAATTAGGATTCATAAGACTCAAAGCCTGTGTCCACTGGCCACGCGTAATCGCACCCTTTCTGGCAAAGGTTCTTTTGGCGATTTTGTCGCTGACAACTTGCGTCAAAAACCTTGTTTGGCGTCTTTTTCAAAAACTACTTGACGGCTACAAAAACTAAAACCCGATCTGGGTAGAGGACCAAAAATAACGTGCACCGTGTCCCCACAATTATGGTGACGCGCTACTTACTATGTTTAACTGCTTTCTGTGTTTCTTTTTTTTCTTTTCTTCTCATTAATTCGATGATTTGATCGTTTTTTAGGTATGAAGTCAAAGAAAAAGCTGTGTCCAGCCATTCTGCGTCCAGCCAGAGATATCTCGAATTTTGCAGGAAAAGAGACATATTGCTGGCCGACACAGAACGATTGAACTTGATCCAAAGAAACTCTTCTGCTAGACAACAGAATTGTTTCAAGCAATTTGTTGAAGACTCTTTCTTTTGACGAAATATGGTCGATAGATTTTTGTTGATATTTTGTCACCATAATTGTGAGACACCTGAGAAATACCAGCTCGAGCACCTCTTTTTCCGTGCCAGACGGCCAGAAAAGCTTCAAGCCAAGCAGCTCGATGGCAACGAGTGCTGCGGCCCAAATGTCGATTTTCATATCGTATGGCTGCCGTGTGAGGACCTCAATAGCTTTGTAGTGGTGCAAGGTCTCGACGTTTATCGAATGTTCGAGATTCACGTTTATTTCTCTGAAAGTCGAATGTGAACTTAGCTTTTTTTTCTTCGCTCACCTAGTCAATCCGAACTGGAAGAGCTTCACCGTGAAATCTCTCGTGTTAATGCCAATGTTCGTTGGTGAGACATTCTGGTAAAAAGACATTCAATACCGTAACTTATCGTATCGTAACTTTTCTTTTTCAATACTCTCACTTTTCTTCAATACTCTAATGTCACAAGACACAAGACGAAAATGTTTTCGATAGGATTTTTACGTTTGAATAGCCATTCGACGCAGAAAAATATTCTAAATAAAAATGAAAGAATTTTTCAAATCCTTTAACAGATTTTTCGATAAAAAATAAATTTTAGTGATTTTACAATGTTGAATTTCAGCCATATTTTATCGTAGAAGTAAAATTCGACTTTTTTTGTTGCTACAATTAAACGATTTTTCGATCAATCTACTATTTTTCGCTATTTTTGCCACATGAACTTCAATTTTTCCAGATAATGTCTAAACCAAAGCAAAAAAAGTAGGAATGCAAGGCTTCAATGCAGTCAAGAAATACAAGGTTATTTATGGCTGAAATGTAAGACTGTAAAATCACTAAAACTTGATTTTTATCGAAAAATCTGTCAAGGGAATTAAAAAAAAATCTTTCATTTTCGTATTCAGCACCTTTTTCTGCGTCGAATGGCTATTTAAACGTAAAAATCCTATAGAAAAAGTTTTTTTTTGCTTTATTTCGCGCGCCGGCCAGTTAATAGGCAATAACTTGAATAATTCTATGCTTCCATTCATCGTGGTGCACTAGTTGTTTCGAAATTTCGTTTATGGTAATTGACTAATTGAATCTACGTGACATTTTCAGTTATAATGGGCAACCACTTGTCTGTTTCTATGCTTTCATTTCACTCCAGCCACCCTCACCCGAGGTATGATTCCCCGCTGATGGAGGTAGCTGAGCGCTCGAAGTATTTGCGTCAGAAGGGCGCCCAAGTCAAGAACGTTGACCTCTGTTATGTTCTTGGTTGTCAAAATCCTTAACAAAATACTCGAAAAAACGTATTCAATGCACTTACTCGTAATACTCGGCTAGACTATGGTCCATCCTCTCGGACACAACGTAGATAAACGTCGGTGGACCAATAGCTGGCTCGGTGAACACCTCGTAAAAGTCGACGATCTATAAATTATTGTAAAACTTCTAATATACGTACATGCTCTATTAGACGTATACCGTATTTTCTCTAATAGTAGTGCCCCCGGCGAGCCGAGTTGGTGACTATTTTACGGTTGCAAGCTTTTGCAGAAGCTCCACACTCTAATCCCCCACTAGATCTCAGCTACATTTTCCGACCCCAAATCGATCGGTTCTGATTAGCGGTTCTCGAGATTTCGAGCAATTTAGGCGACGCTCAGGGTGCCCTACTATTAGAGAAAATAGGCTATGTTCCAATAGATGTACCCTCCTTTCTAAATCGCGCTCTTTGAGTGTACCTTTTTTCTAAGACATTTTTACAAATGTTATTCGAGAATGTTGCATAGTCATTTTTTAATAATTTAATTTTTATAAGAATGACTCGGACGTCAACTATGACTCGAACGCGTCAATTGAATTAAACACTACTCCTGGAAATGAACGGACTGGGGCTTCATTGACTGGGCTGCTTTACGTCTGCTAGCTATGCCGAAACCGAAGAAGAACTTCTCCAGGGAATAGAATTCAATGAGCTCGATACCAATGAAAGCATTCTTGGTGAATCATAACATTTAAAATTTGATTTACTGTTGTTATTACTTTTTTGTTACATTTGTTGCTTTACCTATTCAATTCTTTATGAATAAAACGTCAAAAAATTTTGTATTTGCAATCTTTGGTTATCACCATGTTTATTTTGATGTAGTTTGGATTAAAACTTTATAAAATATACGAACATGCTCTATTACAGCGTGACCAGAAATAACGTTGCGGGATTTTCGGCAGCCTAAAATCCATAAAGTTTCAATTTTGGGAGACAAATTTACTTTTAATCTATTCTCTGTGATTGTTTTTATTAGTTTCTTTGTTGTTTTACTTTGTTTCAAGTCTATTCATTTTTTATAGGATGACAAACAAGGGATCTGCCATTCTGGAGCTTCATCGTCAAGGTCAATGCGTGAGTGCGATCGCGCGATTCCTACGTGTTTCTCATCAGCTCGTCTCAAAAGCGATTAAGCGATACAAGGAGCTTGGCAACGATGGAGATAGTCCAGGAAGAGGCAGAAAAAAAACAGTGAACACCTCCAGAAATCGCAAAGTGATTCAGAAGCGCGTGGCCCGGAATCCACAGGTCTCAATCAAAGATCGCTCGACAGACGGGGATCGCTCACGAATCGGTTCGACTTATGGCCAAAAATGAGCTCAATCTTCACCCTTACAAGCTCAAGCAAGGGCAACAACTCGACGACGACAACAAACGAGTTTGACTCGAAAGATGTCGAGAGCTTCTCAAGCGGACCGCAAGGACGTGTACCAAAAAAAAGACTCTTGAGGATGTTTTGCTTCCAGGGGCTCAACAGCATTTTGTGACGGATTTTGGACCCTCCAACAAGACTCCGCTCCTTCTCATCGAGCCAAATCCACACAAGACTGATGTAGGACAAACTTTCCGGATTTCATCTCAGCCCAGGAATGGCCCGGAGGCCATTCCTGGGCTATTTGTGCGATCTCAATCCATTGGACTACAGTGTTTGGTCAATTTTGAAGGCAAGGGCTTGTGTAAAGCCCCACAAAAGTTTGGAGGCTCTTAAGTGATCGTTGACCAGGGAATGAGATCGAATCACTCTGGCCGAGCTGCGGCCCATCGCCGAAAACTTCATCAAGCGTTTGAGGCTCTGCATCGGAGCCAAAGGTGGCCACTTTGAAGAAAAGTAAATTTTATGTTCTCTTTATATCATGTTGTTAATAAAAAATTGTTTCCGTTACAAAATCTTTTTGGATTTTTAAAAAATAGGCTAAATTAGGCCGCAACGTTATTTGTGGTCACCCTGTAGATGTACATGCTCTAATGGACGTACACTCTAGAGGGTACTTGAAAAATAGACGTACATGTACGTATATTAAAAGTTTTACGGTAATTTGCAACAGTTGAAATGGAGATTTCTTACATTCTCGTGACTGTGCAAGCGACAGATTTGCAGCTCCCGTCTGATTCTTGTGTAGCCATCGAACGTATTGTTCAGCTGCTCCAGATCATAGCTAAAAGGACGATTGTTTAAAAACTAGAACTTTATTCAACGACCAACCGTTTGCACGTGACTTTCATCATATTAGGTTTTGAATTTGTATCCGAGTTCTTGCCCTCCACATGGTTGTAATCGAGTTTGGCGGCTCTGGAATCAACGGCGGTTTCATTGAAAAATGAATTTACGTTTTGGTAACTTGATGCTGTTTTGGTAATTTATGGGAATTATTTCTGATCAAAAACCCACATCACATACGAATACTTTCCCTCGCCAATTATGTGATAGTTCTCTTCTGGTACTACATTTTTTCGATAGAAAGTGTCTTCCTGAAAAATTATTTAGAGTTAATTAGAAGTCAAAAAATTTGTGGTCATATTTTTGCTTATTTGTTTATCCTGTTGACGGAGAATTACGAAAAACCAAATCGGCAATTCTGCTCACAGATATTTCCCCGAGTTTCAGACCGATCGGCAGTCTAGAAGTTGGCTTTCATTGGTACCGGGTCAGTCACAGTACTCACTGTGACTGACTGAGTGACCAACTTTGAGGCCGATTTCCTCGGTGATCCTTGGAACTTTTACCCAATCCAAATGGCGCCTTAACAAGTCAAAATTGGATGGAGAATCGAATGGTACCATTTGTAGATCGATCCCAAGACTAGAAGTATGATTTCCAAACCCTTCCCCAAGCTCCACGCTTTTCTATAGCCAATGATGAAGTTTCGGAAAAGGTTTGAAAATCATACTTCTAGCCTTGGAATCGTTCTACAAATGGGACCATTCGATTCTTCATAAAATTTGGACTTGTAAATGTGCTATTTGGATGGGGCAAAAACCATTAAAATCACCGAGATATTTGAGCTCAAAGTTGAACACTCAGTCAGTCACAGTAACAATTGTTTTTATCCTCATCAGCGTCGGCTTCATACTAGAGTTTTGTTAGTTTTCCCTTGAATAACGCAGTATTCAGTTTGCAATGACCATTTGCAACAGTTTGTCCTTTGCGAAAACAAACAATTTGATCATCTGATGCCATTCAATGCATTCGATATTCCACAATTTTTAAAAGATTTCTCGATTAACTTGTTTGGTAGGCTTTCCCAAGCGGTTATCATCCATTGAAGAAACTAATCCATTTCTGATGGGCGAGGGTTTCCGCCTTTCGTACAAATCCTCGTTTCATTTGATAGCCAGTCCGTGTAGAGCTCATCAAATTTCTTTTTGAAGGGTTGAACATCAGAAGAAAACACAAAACATCAGAAACACGAAACGAAATAAAACTACACTTTTGGGTTTACTTTTCTGCTTTCGGATACGGTAATTTTAGCGCAAAATAGAAAATAAGTGAAAACTTCGAATAAAAGACCGGTCTTATATTCGAGACGATCTTTTATTCGAGAACGACCTTCTAAGAAATACAGTAAGTTACAAAAACACTGACAATAGCAATGCTGTTCTAACTTTGATTGGAACTTTGTCTGACCGTGTGTGGTTCATATCCCGAAGGAAATTGAACGGAAATCGGATTCTTGCCACTGCTGAGGACGAAAGTCGCTTTTTCGACCTTTCGCTCCTTCGAACTTCTCTTCCTTCTCGCCTCCAAAGGATCCTCATTGGAATCATCGGTCATTGCCTTTGGAAACTAAAACTCTAAACTTCTTGAAATTAGTTTCAAAGAAAAGATTTTTTTAAAACAAAAAATAAGATCTATTTCAAGGAGAAAAATAGGAGAAAAACTTGTATAAGTTTTATGTTTAAAACCTCATTTTTATGTCGAATGATTGTGCTAGAATCATAAAAGGAAAAGCCTTTGTAAGCAGAATTCTTATCTTCTTTTGGGAAAGTTTTTGGCTAAAACGATCGTAGAAATTTTTCGAATGATCGAATGAAGGATAAACTTTAGAAGTTTTAAAAAATTGAAATTTTTCATACTTTCCATTTTTTACTTTAATGTAAATGTAAATAGTGTTTTTAGACAAATAAAATTTGGAGGTTTATCTAAAATCAAAGCTTTTAAAATAAAAAGTTTTCTTTTGCGTATGAGGCTTGAGAAAATACGAAAATTGGTTAAAGATCTACATTCAATTTCCATTTTATTTTTGAATCAATAAAGAAAACCATCAAAAAGAAGAACTTCAAAAAGAAAAGTGATCCGCATTTATGAGGGGAAGCAAAAAATTGATAAGACGCAGAATCTCTTTCATGAATTTTAGCAAGCAAGCGAAATTTCTTGTGATTTTCAAGAAATAAAGAAGCGAAGCAAGTAGGACTTTTCTATTGGCATCCTCATTAGTGAATCTTGACTGGAATTTAATTGGCCATTTAGTTCATCATCTTGTTTTCCTCGTTGTGCCTTGTGTGAAAAAAATACTATTTACAAGCTTTATTAAGTTGGCAAATGTAATTCGTCTCCGTCGTGCTACTGTCTACAGCAGTTGCCCTTCTGTTTGCACCAAAACGGGCACCATCCAGAGCGGCTGTTGTTGATGCAGCTCTCCGGACTACACGGGCGCCCACTGAGGCGATGCCCGCGCTGGAAAACGGCTATCCAATTACCTGAAAGTAGCTCCTTTTAGGTGTCGATAGTGCTGTTTGAAAAACTCAGTTACATTCAAATTTCTCTATAACGGAATGGAAGGGATCAAAAATTTTTTCCCGTATCTAGAGCTTTCCGTTATAGAAAGGGAGATTTTCAAATCCAAATTTTTTTCGTTTCGTTTTTTGAGAAGTGGAGATAAGATTTATGGATATAAGCTTTTTTATTTATGGTTTTTTAAGATTTATGGATATAAGCTTTTTCCATCAAAAATTAACACTTAAACTTATTGCTGGTAAACTTGAAACTTTAGGTGAAGTACTGATTTTAAATGCAAAATGCTTTGGAAATACTGATTGTGAAACTCATGTAAATGTTGTCCGATTGTATCGCTACACAGAAGAAGGGAAAACAGTGGAAATTGTAATGGAATATTGTCAAAAGGGACCACGCAAGAGACAAAAGGAACAGAATGGAGGTTAGGATTGGACTGATATTGTTATATCTTAGAGTTTAGTGATTCTTGATCGAACAATTACATATTCAATGAACACTTGTCTCACCTGGGGAATCCAATTATTTGATGCCATTGATCACATGTATCAGAAACACAAATTGGTACATCGAGATATCAAACCTGACAAGTAATATTCAGTGGTATAAATGTCAAAGTTGAATTCATTTATAGCATTTTTGTGACCAATGAATACCAGCTGAAGATTGGTGACTTTGGATTCGTAAAAGTAGTGGGAGATGGAACTGTTAAGAAGACGTTTATTGGAACACCACGATATATGAGTCCACCTGAGATGAAAGAAGATGGGGTACAACGGAATGTTTATGAACAAATAAAGGAGGCTGATGTATCGGTTAGTTCAAGATTCTTTTCTATTCAATGATAATATATATTCATTCCAGGATTCCCATCGAAATGATGTCTACGGTCTGGGACATGTTATGTGGGAAATCATCGAAAGGAGGTATATTTACATCTTGACCTAATTTGAAAGATAACTAAGACTTCAAAAGAATATTTTTGTTGTCTTAGAACCATTTTCACAAACTATGAGATATCCGGAGTGTTTTATCGTCATCAATTATTGTTTGATATTGCATTCAAGCGTGTTACTGAAATCGAATCACCTGACTGTCAATCAGAAATTCAAAAAATCATCTCAAGCTTTGGATTTAAGATTTTCTTTTATATTTTAAGAATCCATCGATCAGATGTAATAATTTTCAACGTATTCATCGTCCACCAGCTTCTGAAGTCTTGGATTTTCTTAAAACATATAAAGTAAGCTTTTCTAGAAGAAGTTCATTTTCTTGTTTAATATTATATTGAGTTGGAAAGTATGTAACCTCGCAAATTTCCTTTCACTTATTTTACCATTATGATGAATAGAATTTTCATGTTTTATGTCAGATTCTTTGGACTACCTACCATTTGGCCTGCGCACCAAATGTAGTGATTATTGGTGGTTTAGATATAATCTTTATTACAGCAATAATAGTTGGTTCAGTGGTTTGGGATTGGGAGAATAGAGACGACTCCACGGCACACCTCGGCAGCTCGTTCACATTGCTTTTATACAGAACTTTGGCGTTGGTTTCGTCTTGCACAGAATGGAGTTGAACAGATAGCGACGCATATTAAATCTCGCACAATAGGCGTTCGCCCACAAAGGTGTCTGGCTGGTCATTTCTACCCGTGGTGATCTCGATCACGAGATCGTCACGACAATCTTCGTCACCTTGATCGGAGAGGCCGGAGGAAATTTGGGTGAGAGTCGAACTCGAACTTGGGGACAAAAATGTATAGTTACTAGTACTAGTCCACCGAAGTAGTCGTTAAGACAGCATTTGGCGGCTTCATAGGGAATCCGAGATTTGGATATCTCGCGCTTAGAAAGCTAGAAAGCAAAAACTAGAAATGGATTTGAGATCCCCATGGCCGACTCTAGATGAACTTGGCCTCGAGTCAAAAGGCCAGCTTGACTCAATCCCTTTTCCTTGCTAGATAACGCTTTGCTCACGGGAACACACTGACTCTATTCTCCTAATGGCAGCATCAAGATGAAGTCAAGGTTCTTTTCATAGGTTTTTTCGATTTCAGTGAGGTCTTCACGTAGCTTGCTTATAACTTTAGGCTTTCCGGGATACAATAGAGATCCTTCCCGAACAAGTTTTTGAATGTTAGAATAGAGTTTTGTCTAATTGTATTGACAATTATTGCATGGATTCTCGATCGAGCCCTAAGACTAGATGCAGATTGAGATCAGTCAGAAACCGGGTCAGCATGTTTTAAATCGCATTATTTAAAACTTTTTTAAAGTTACACCAGATCTAGGCCTGATCTAACCCCTGACCTGGGCTCGTGCAATTCGTCAACTATGAGACTTTATCAGTGAAAAAAGAAATGTGATTCTTACTCGGTGCTTTTCCAGTTATCTAATTGTAGTCAGTCTTCCTGTAATCTTTCTGCGGTTTCATCAAATTCCCAGGATAGTTGAACTACAGTTACCAAATTCGGTTAGATATCGAGTATTCCTTAGCATTCACTCAGCGCCATTGTTTCAATTACCTAATCAGCTCAAAAACTCAGATTGGGACATGACCCGGATTCGACTCCCGGCTGTAAAGAGTTTTAACTCAAAAAACTGATCTAACTAGTCATCTTTTTGGGGAATACCATTCGACGCAGAATTTTTGGCTGATTCCAAATGTGTATTCCGTTTTTGCCAAATGAGAATCTGTCAGGAGTTATAAGCGTCTGGTTTTGTTGGAACTCGGAAAATTTGGGTCTTAGCGGTCTCCTTGTGAACCCAATTACCTCGTGAAATCTTGTGAACCCAATATCTAAGAGACTTTGGCACAGACTCACTCTTTCAGTGCGTCTGTGAATCCGCGTCGAAGAACAAATACGAGCGGAGTCTCTCCAGGGACAGGCGAAAACCAGTCCATGACAGTCGACGACGAGTCTATGACAGTTGACAACGAGTCCATGACAGTTTCGTTCCATTTTTTTTTTTTGATCGTCTGTCCAAAGAGGGTAAGCGTCTAAAAAACACATTATTCTCTGGTTCACCTTTCAAAAAATTACAAAACCAATCAAGTATTAGGTACTCTAGAAAATAATTGCGTTTTTTTGATATGAATTATTTCGGGCCTTGTTTCTGAGTTTTTTCAGTGCGGATTCCTTTAGAATTTTCTACCGAAAAATTGTTTATAACTTTTCTTTGTGATGCCATAAAAATTTTGTCTCTCTTAAACAACGATTAATTTTAGGGGCTCGACATAAGGAGAATGGACAAACGACAAATTTGGACGATTTTTTTGTATGAGTCCAAGTGTGGCGAATTGCCACCGCTCTGCAGTTAGTCAAAAATTCAATACACAAGTTAAAATTCAAAGTTGATGGATAAAGTACCGTAATCAGTCACTAGACGATATTCAGCTGTCCGTTTGTTGTAGCTTGTATACTTAAAAAACCCGTTATTTAAGCTTCGCTTTTGAGTGAGTTTTGTTCTCCTTTCTTTTGCTATCTTTCATCCCTTTTTTCACTTGCAAGTGTTAAATTAATTGTGATGTGCCAGGTTGCTCCAGTTTGAGCGAAGTTTGCCCTAATAAGGGAAAGTTTGATAAATTATGCGCTTTCAAGACAACTACAGTCGAACCTCTCTATAACGAACCTCGATATAACGTAAACCTCTCTAACGTAAACCTAACGTAAGGCGTGACCGGTCCCGGCCGACGTTAAGCTATATAAAACGGCACTCTATATAACGTAAACCTCTATATAACGTAAGCTATAGCCGTCCCGTGAGTTACGTTATAGAGAGGTTCGACTGTACTATTGAACCACACCGAGACACGGTCTCACAAGAAATTATATAGATCAAGGCATAAACATATATTTCTTACACCAAGCTTGAACATAGCGCAACGGTTCCGGCCAAAAACATCAATCGTGCATTTGCCTCAATCAACATTTGGTCATGAGCCTACTTCTGTTAGAACCCCTCAATTTTGGTTCAAACAATTCCGGGAAGGAGACAAGGAGGGTCGCGGTCGCCCAAGACTTATTGATGGTGATGATTTAAGACAACTTGTCAAAGTCAATCCGCGGACTACTGAGCCAGAACTAGCAAAACACTTAAATGTAGGGATTTCGACTATAAGTAATCACTTGAAGGATATCGGAAAGATCAAAAAACTGGAGAAGTGGATACCTCTTCAATTGGACGGCCGCCAGTATTTTGCACGCTTCCTTGCTGCCTCTTCGTTGAAACCCCGGAACAAAAGAGATCCATTTTTGAACCGGATGATCACGTGCGATGCTATATGAAAATCGAAAATGAAATTCGGAGTGACTAAACAAAGGAGAAGCAACTTATTCGTTCCCCGAAGCCTGATCTTCATCCAAAGAAAATGATGCTCTTTGTTTGATGGTATAAAAAAAGATGTTATTCATTATACTTTACTCAAAACAGGAGAAAGTATAAATTCAGACATTTATATTAAACAAATTGAAGAAATGCATTCAAAATTGAGGAACTTGAGCCCGTCTTTGGTCAACCGAAAGAGACAATTCTGTTACAGGACAATGCTAGCCAGAATCTATATCTTTGAAGCGCCTCAATTGCTTGCCAAGTTTGGAAATCGAATTCCTTCCTCATCCGCCGTATTCATTTGACCTTTCTCCAATATATTATCATTTTTTTCAAGCATCTCGATCGTTACGTCGTAGACAAAATTTTCAAGAACGAAACAGAGGTGAAAAATGCTATCGAAGACTTCATCGCCTCTAGACAGGCCGACGTTTTTTGTTGGCAAAAGTGCATTGATTTTAACGCTTGTTATTTTGATTAATTTGATTGTCGTTTAATAAAAAATTTTGCAATTGAAAATCATTAAGAAAAACTCAATCATTTTTCGGAGTACCTAATATTTTCATGAAAAACAAAAGAGGGCAAAATTTGTTGAAAATAAATTGCTGTGAAAAAAGTAGAAAACACTTACCAAGAGGGCAGTTCAGCCATTCGATGATCTTTTTTTCAGACGGATTTCTCAAAAGTACGGTACTCAAGGATTCATGAGCTTGAGGTTGAACAGATTGAACAGATTGAACAGGTGGAGGAACTGCAATTGACACCAAAGCTATGGTGATCAAAAAAGAACAAATATTTATACCTTTTAATTCCTTAATCAAAGCTAATACGAAACCTTTTGATTGGTGAATTGGAGAACTTTCGGAAAAACCTACTCAAGAGTTCCATATCAACAGCTACCATCTCAACAGAAGCAGAAAAAGGATCCTTCCCTCGATTCGTGTTTGATACTGTTACTTTATTTCCGATTTCCTCTAAACTTTTCATATTTCTAGTTTTACAAATATAACATATAACAAATAAAAACGTGAAAGATGAAACTTTTTGTCGAGGTTTAGTTTAAACGAAAAAAGTGGAAAGATAAGAAAAAAAGGGAGCATAATGAAGAGTGGCCCTGCGAAGCGAAGTCGTTTATTTCTTATCTGTCGAAAAAAGTGAATCGATAGCAAATAATGGAAAATATTGGGTTGGTGCATTGAAAACTGCGGGACTTTGAACTAAAATTTATTCAACATAAAACCATAAATTCATTCCAAATAATTTCCATTATGACTGGCAACTTCTGCCCATTTTACAGGCAGCTTGCGGATTCCTCTTTCGTAGTAGGATTTTGGTTTTGAATCGAAAAACTTTTCCAACTGTTCACTGTAGCATAAACTTTTTCTGGTGCAAATCGGGCTTGGGGTCACTTTCGGGTTTCTCGCCTGACCCCACCCACTGCCGCTTCCTCCGAAAGTTCACAGATAAACCCCTTTTTCATCCCCTATCACAATTCGAGAAAGAAATAAATTTCCTTTCGTATTGTGAGTGTTGGGTGGCACTGATCGAGACGTGCTGCCACTTCTAGGGGTCAGTGAGGTCATGGGGCACCCAAGCCCCAAGTTTCGATTTAAATCCAAGGGTATGAAGGTGCCTTAGCACTGTAGCATGATCAACCCCTAACTCTTCTCCCAGTTCACGCGATGACACCCGATGGACGTTGATAATAAGTTCGAGTAACTTGGAGTCATCCAGTTCGGGTGCCGCTCCACGGCCCTCTGCATCTTTCAAAGATTTGTCCCCAGATCGGCACTTGGAAAACCATACTTGACACGTTCTTTCGGAAAGTGAGTCCTCCGTATATATTTTTTTAATATTAGCAGCTGCCAAGCCTGCACTGTGCTCTTGTAGGAACTCATGAAGCATCACATGACGCATATGTTCCGGTGGCAGATTCTGAAAAATTGTTCCGGTGGCAGATTGTCGAGTGCAATAGAAGAAGTGAAGAAATAGACCAAAAAATAAAAAGTTGAAAGCATAATTTTTTCGCAATAATTAGAGGAAATGTTGAAGTAAACAAGCCCCCCTTTCAGCTGGTTCTATGCTATTGTTTTCTTTATCTGCTAGTCCCGCGAAATAGCCCGCAGTTTTCAATGCAACAACCCAATAGAAAAAATGGTTAAATTTTATGCAGTGGCAAAAATTCAAAACTTTTGTCCTCTAAACTTGTGTTAAACTGATGATTAGATTCTGACTTGGAGCTTTGATATAATCGAGTATCAACAAACAAATGTTTATCGCATTCGTAATTTTGTAGACCTTCAATCTACATCCACAATCAATTTTATGGCATGATTGGCTTTGGACGAAAGGACAGCTGAGTCAGACCAGCCTCCAGCTCTTCCAGGACCATCTTTTTGTCGTTCTCATTGCGTTCACGGAGTTGCTCTTCATTTTTTGGGTGACTGCTAGCCGACTTCTCTTGGTAGGTTTTCTGAAATCCAAAAAAATGAATCTTCTGTACAGCTTTTTGTGCTAACATTGAAAGCCCTCAGAAACGGATGCTTTAGACACTCGTCGGCACTGAGTCTCTTCTGACGATCGGGATTCAGCATCCCGGTCACCAAATCACGGAAATTTTCGCCTAAAATTCATTTATCCTAAGTTTTTCAAGTCCATTGCCTGTTATTTCGCTTTGGTTGTTATATTTGATTGTTCGCCTAGTCTCGTTTATCAGCACCACTTCCAGCGACTTGAGGACCTCATAAACTCGATCTATGACCGCGTTCTCGGCGCCGCTATGACTAACCTAAACTCTTGAATCTTCCCATCACAACCATAAGCAGAGTTTGTTGCTATCAACTAAAGCATGTCACAAAGCTACCTACAAGCTACCGTAGCCAGGTCGTTTGCTCATTCAGACTTTTTACTTTGATACTAACAATTAGGATTCATAAGACTCAAAGCCTGTGTCCACTGGCCACGCGTAATCGCACCCTTTCTGGCAAAGGTTCTTTTGGCGATTTTGTCGCTGACAACTTGCGTCAAAAACCTTGTTTGGCGTCTTTTTCAAAAACTACTTGACGGCTACAAAAACTAAAACCCGATCTGGGTAGAGGACCAAAAATAACGTGCACCGTGTCCCCACAATTATGGTGACGCGCTACTTACTATGTTTAACTGCTTTCTGTGTTTCTTTTTTTTCTTTTCTTCTCATTAATTCGATGATTTGATCGTTTTTTAGGTATGAAGTCAAAGAAAAAGCTGTGTCCAGCCATTCTGCGTCCAGCCAGAGATATCTCGAATTTTGCAGGAAAAGAGACATATTGCTGGCCGACACAGAACGATTGAACTTGATCCAAAGAAACTCTTCTGCTAGACAACAGAATTGTTTCAAGCAATTTGTTGAAGACTCTTTCTTTTGACGAAATATGGTCGATAGATTTTTGTTGATATTTTGTCACCATAATTGTGAGACACCTGAGAAATACCAGCTCGAGCACCTCTTTTTCCGTGCCAGACGGCCAGAAAAGCTTCAAGCCAAGCAGCTCGATGGCAACGAGTGCTGCGGCCCAAATGTCGATTTTCATATCGTATGGCTGCCGTGTGAGGACCTCAATAGCTTTGTAGTGGTGCAAGGTCTCGACGTTTATCGAATGTTCGAGATTCACGTTTATTTCTCTGAAAGTCGAATGTGAACTTAGCTTTTTTTTCTTCGCTCACCTAGTCAATCCGAACTGGAAGAGCTTCACCGTGAAATCTCTCGTGTTAATGCCAATGTTCGTTGGTGAGACATTCTGGTAAAAAGACATTCAATACCGTAACTTATCGTATCGTAACTTTTCTTTTTCAATACTCTCACTTTTCTTCAATACTCTAATGTCACAAGACACAAGACGAAAATGTTTTCGATAGGATTTTTACGTTTGAATAGCCATTCGACGCAGAAAAAGGTGCTGAATTCGAAAATAAAAGAATTTTTTTTAATTCCCTTGACGGATTTTTCGATAAAAATCAAGTTTTAGTGATTTTACAGTCTTACATTTCAGCCATAAATGTAAGATTATGGTTATTCTAAACAAAAAAAATGAAAGAATTTTTCAATTCCCTTCAACAGATTTTTCGATAAAAAACAAATTTTAGTGATTTTACAATGTTAAATTTCAGCCAAATTTTATCGTAGACGTAAAATTTTGGAAAAAAAACGCCTGACACAAAAATCTAAACTATAAGTTTGATTCGACAGATTCTTCTCTATTTTTTGATACCAAAAACGTAAAGATGGAAAAACCCTACAAAAAGTTATAACCTTTTGAAAATAAAAGTGTGGTTTCTGGGTTATGGCGCACTATAAAGTGGATCATTTACCGTAACCGAAAAGAGAAAAAGAGTAAAATTCGACTTTTTTTGTTGCTACAATTAAACGATTTTTCGATCAATCTACTATTTTTCGCTATTTTTGCCACATGAACTTCAATTTTTCCAGATAATGTCTAAACCAAAGCAAAAAAAGTAGGAATGCAAGGCTTCAATGCAGTCAAGAAATACAAGGTTATTTATGGCTGAAATGTAAGACTGTAAAATCACTAAAACTTGATTTTTATCGAAAAATCTGTCAAGGGAATTAAAAAAAATCTTTCATTTTCGTATTCAGCACCTTTTTCTGCGTCGAATGGCTATTTAAACGTAAAAATCCTATAGAAAAAGTTTTTTTTTTGCTTTATTTCGCGCGCCGGCCAGTTAATAGGCAATAACTTGAATAATTCTATGCTTCCATTCATCGTGGTGCACTAGTTGTTTCGAAATTTCGTTTATGGTAATTGACTAATTGAATCTACGTGACATTTTCAGTTATAATGGGCAACCACTTGTCTGTTTCTATGCTTTCATTTCACTCCAGCCACCCTCACCCGATGCATGATTCCCCGCTGATGGAGATAGCTGAGCGCTCGAAGTATTTGCGTCAGAAGGGCGCCCAAGTGAAGAACGTCGACCTCTGTCTTGTTCTTGGTTGTCAAAATCCTTAACAAAATACTCGAAAAAATGTATTCAATGCACTTACTCGTAATACTCGGCTAGACTATGGTTCATCCTCTCGGAGACAACGTAGATAAACGCCGGTGGACCAACAGCTGGCTGGGTGAACACCTCGTAAAAGTCGACGATCTATAAATTATTGTAAAACTTCTAATATACGTACATGCTCTATTAGACGTATACCGTATTTTCTCTAATAGTAGTGCCCCCGGCGAGCCGAGTTGGTGACTATTTTACGGTTGCAAGCTTTTGCAGAAGCTCCACACTCTAATCCCCCACTAGATCTCAGCTACATTTTCCGACCCCAAATCGATAGGTTCTGATTAGCGGTTCTCGAGATTTCGAGCAATTTAGGCGACGCTCAGGGTGCCCTACTATTAGAGAAAATAGGCTATGTTCCAATAGATGTACCCTCCTTTCTAAATCGCGCTCTTTGAGTGTACCTTTTTTCTAAGACATTTTTGCAAATGTTATTCGAGAATGTTGCATAGTCATTTTTTAATAATTTAATTTTTATAAGAATGACTCGGACGTCAACTATGACTCGAACGCGACAATTGAATTAAACACTACTCCTGGAAATGAACGGACTGCTTCATTGACTGGGCTGCTTTACGTCTGCTAGCTATGCCGAAACCGAAGAAGAGCTTCTCCAGGGAATAGAATTCAATGAGCTCTAACGGGTTACTGAAAAATAGACGTACATGTACGTATATTAAAAGTTTTACGGTAATTTGCAACAGTTGAAATGGATATTTCTTACATTCTCGTGACTGTGCAAGCGACAGATTTGCAGCTCCCGTCTGATTCTTGTGTAGCCATCGAACGTATTGTTCAGCTGCTGCAGATTATAGCTAAAAGAACAATTGTTTAAAAACTTGAACTTTATTCAACGACCAACCGTTTGCACGTGACATTCATCATATTAGGCTTTGAATTTGTATCCGAGTTCTTGCCCTCCACATGGTTGTAATCGAGTTTGGCGGCTCTGGAATCAAGGGCGGCTTCATTGAAAAATGAATTTACGTTTTGGTAACTTGATGTTGTTTTGGTAACTTGATGTTGTTTTGGTAATTGATGGGAATTATTTCTGATCAAAAACCCACATCACATACGAATACATTCCCTCGCCAATTATGTGATAGTTCTCCTTTGGCACCTTTTTTCGATAGAAAGTGTCTTCCTGAAAAATTATTTAGAGTTAATTAGAAGTCAAAAAATTTGTGGTCATATTTTTGCTTATTTGTTTATCCTGTTGACGGAGAATTACGAAAAACCAAATCGGCAATTCTGCTCACAGATATTTCCCCGAGTTTCAGACCGATCGGCAGTCTAGAAGTTGGCTTTCATTGGTACCGGGTCAGTCACAGTACTCACTGTGACTGACTGAGTGACCAACTTTGAGGCCGATTTCCTCGGTGATCCTTGGAACTTTTACCCAATCCAAACGGCGCATTAACAAGTCAAAATTGGATGGAAAATCCAATGGTACCATTTGTAGACGGATCTGAGGCCTAGAAGTATGATTTCCAAACCCTTCCCCAAGCTCCACGCTTTTCTATAGGCAATGATGAAGTTTCGGAAAAGGTTTGAAAATCATACTTCTAGCCTTGGGATCGTCCTACAAGTGGTAACATTCGATTCTCCATGAAATTCCGACTTGTAAATGTGCCATTTGGATGGGGCAAAAGCCATTAAAATCACCGAGATATTTGAGCTCAAAGTTGAACACTCAGTCAGTCACAGTAAGAAATACAGTAAGTTACAAAAACACTGACAATAGCAATGCTGTTCTAACTTTGATTGGAACTTTGTCTGACCGTGTGTGGTTCATATCCCGAAGGAAATTGAACGGAAATCGGATTCTTGCCACTGCTGAGGACGAAAGTCGCTTTTTCGACCTTTCGCTCCTTCGAACTTCTCTTCCTTCTCGCCTCCAAAGGATCCTCATTGGAATCATCGGTCATTGCCTTTGGAAACTAAAACTCTAAACTTCTTGAAATTAGTTTCAAAGAAAAGATTTTTTTAAAACAAGAAATAAGATCTATTTCAAGGAGAAAAATAGGAGAAAAACTTGTATAAGTTTTATGTTTAAAACCTCATTTTTATGTCGAATGATTAATAAGAGGAAATAGAATAATGAAAAAAGAGGAACTTCAAAAAGAAAAGTGATCCGCATTTGTGAGGGGAAGCAAAAAATTGATAAGACGCAGAATCTCTTTCATGAATTTTAGCAAGCAAGCGAAATTTCTTGTGATTTTCAAGAAATAAAGAAGCGAAGCAAGTAGGACTTTTCTATTGGCATCCTCATTAGTGAATCTTGACTGGAATTTAATTGGCCATTTAGTTCATCATCTTGTTTTTCCTCGTTGTGCCTTGTGTGAAAAAAATACTATTTACAAGCTTTATTAAGTTGGCAAATGTAATTCGTCTCCGTCGTGCTACTGTCTACAGCAGTTGCCCTTCTGTTTGCACCAAAACGGGCACCATCCAGAGAGGCTGTTGTTGATGCAGCTCTCCGGACTACACGGGCGCCCACTGAGGCGATGCCCGCGCTGGAAAACGGCCTCGAGCCTCGAGAAGCCTCGAGAAGTAACACGCGTTCAGGTATTACTTATTAGCCACGCTGTTGATGCCCTTATCTGGCTGGTCATATGATCGGACAATTTAAATTTTATCTTCTGATAACCAATACTACTATCCAGCTAATTGTTGTGCCTAGACTAAAGAGCTAATCCTTGAAGATTCAGCTCTGAACTGAGCTCTGCGAAACACTAAATCTAGTTGCACTTATCATTTGGCAGAGTTTATTTGTATTTAAGTCCTTGAGTTACGTTTTTAAGTCGAAGCCCTTATGAAGACATATCGAAGAGCCGTTGTTAAATAATCAAAATGAACAAAAAGCCAAAATGGAATTTTTCAAGTTATGTTGCAAGATAGAATTGGTCGAGCCAACAAAAAAATATTATTGGGCTGCGTTTGAAAAAAGTCAAGGTCTTGAAGAAGGAAAGCCTTATCTCTCGCTTTTATTCACTCGCCCTATCAGATTGCCACGTTTCATCCTGAATATCTTTCTGAAACTGCCTTTGTGCAACGATTTACGAAGGAAACCCCTTCAATTTGGTTTAGTGCGATTTTTGTTGATGAATTTTTTATGAACAAAAAGCGTAGGGGTGAATCATCGCATCTACCTATTCATGCTGCAATATTATTGAATTGTTCGTAGGCGTATCTTTTTCAAGTTAGTGTATATTCTTATTGTTCATATGGCAAGAGAACTCGAAAGAAAAGTTAACCTTAGCAGAAAGCACTAAAAATGTTTTTGAAGGCGAAGCTGTCATCTACAGTCATGGAAAAAAGTCTTTTAACGTTGGTTTTTAGAAGTTTGTTCTTTGTATATCTTGGTCCAAATCCGACTAATTTGCAAACGGTTAAAAGATTTAAAGAGCTTATTATCTCTAATTTTAGCATTACAAAAAGATGGATTTAACAATTTATCAGGTTTCATGAACTTTTAATAAAACAAAAATTGAGCCAAAAATTGATGGACAAAAGTCTTTTAGCATGTAAGAAAACATTTTGAAAATCAATACTAGGGAGGTCCTCCGCGAGCCGCAATTACTGCTTGAATTCTCCTTGGCATGCTGTCAACCTTGTCAACCTCACGTAGAATTTGGGGTCCAATAGTTGTCCAGACTCGACGGATGAAGTACTAAAGCTCTACTTTTGATCCGAATAGTTTCCGCTTCAATTTCGACTTCACAAACGCCCATAAGTTCTCGATCACATTCAAATCAGGACTATAGGGAGGAGCAGACACAAGTTGAGTTGTTCACAATTCACAAGTTGAACACGTGAACCATCCTGGCACCAGAGCCGTTCCTCCATTGGCGAGTCGAACACGGCGTCCCATCAGCAGCTGTGACTTGTGGCACGGGGCATTGTCCTGGTACAACAACCAACCTTGACCCATATTTGCGGTCGAAAACGGTAGAAGATCATTCTCCCGAATCGTCTTGTAGCGTTGAGCATTCAGCGTTAAGTTTAGAAGGACGAGTGAACCCAGTGAATTTCTGGACATTGCTCCTAGAAATCAGAAAATCAGTAGGCACAAAATACAAAGGTCCTTACCCCATAGCATGATCGAAAAAATCACAAAATTTAACTATAGGACGCAAGTATTTAATGTTATAACGTTGTTCGACTGATCTCCGTATCAAATGATTGCCATCAGGGACGAAAAGATCGACTTTCGATTTGTCGGTGGACACAACATTGGCCCAATCGTGCGACGTTCAACTTTGATACTTCTTAGCAAACTCGAGACGAAGCTTCCGGTGCTTAGCTACCATCAGAGGTTTCTTGGCGGCCCTTCTAGCCATCAATTCACCGTGAATCAGGCGTCGACTCACTGTTTTTCGAGAAATTTCTTTGTTAAATTGTTGCTTCACCATAGCCACGCCATCAGAGGCATTCAGATTTGGGTTCTTCTTGTGGGCCAGAACAAGCGCATTGCCTTCTCGTAAAGTTGTAACTGGTGGACGTCCACTTTTTGATGCACGATGAACGTTTCCCGCGAGTTTGGCCCTGGAGACAACAAGCGATACAGTTGTTTCGGTACAGCGGAAGAGCTCAGCGACGGCTTTTCTAGAAATTCCATTTTTTCGAGCTTCGGCGAATTTCTCCTTGTCCGGAGTTGATAAGTAGGCGCCGGCATCTAAAAAATCAGAGTTAGGAACCAGAAATCAATAGGAAAAACAGAAAATTTCTCAAAGGAACTGCGATGTTAAAAGATTTTTGTCCATCAATTTTTGGCTCAATTTTTGTTTTATTAAAAAGTTCATGACACCTGACAAATTGTTAAATCCATCTTTTTGTAATGTTAAAATTAGAGATAATAATCTCTTTAAATCTTTGAGCCGTTTGCAAATTGGTCGGATTTGGACCAAGATATACAAAGAACAAACTTCTAAAAACCAACGTTAAAAGACTTTTGTCCATGACTGTATTAGACGTTTTGTCCTTTCGGCGACGAAAGTTACACCGTAATCTATCAATCTACGAATCGAAACATAAACTTCAAGGGTGCTATATTGTGAACGTTAAAAGCTAGAACATATAGAGCACAGGTCATCGATGCCATTATTATTGTTTTATTATTTGGAATGCTTTGGATTGATGTGTAAAATTAGCACGAGAAATGGATGAATGCACAATCTTATCATCAAATTCGCCGAGATGGTTTTTTGAAAAAAAAGCCTTTTAATTTTAGAGCTAAGAATATTTCTTTTGCATTTTATTTTTGCATTTTATGCATTTTAAACATTCTAACAAAAAATATTATTTGGCTGCGTTGGAAAAGAGTCGAGGTCTTGAACAAAGAAGGCCTTATCTCTTGCTCTTATTCACTCGCCATACCAAATGCCACATGTGACCCTGAACTAGTCTTTGCTTGAGATTGCTACAATAATTTTCTGGTCGAATTCCTCTTTGTCATCTTTGTCATCTTTGTCATATCATCTCTTTTTGCTTCAAGTAACACTTTTCTTATTAAAGATATTAATTCAAAATCATATTTTAGACAAAATATGGGTACTGTAGCCGAGTTTTAGATGCAAAATAGATTATTCTAGGCTCGGAATCTGTTTTTTAACCATTTTTTGAACTCTTCTTTGGAATCAAAGTGTTTGTTCGCCAAATCATTGCTCATGGCCCGGAATTAGTAGTAATCAGAAGGTGCAGGATCAGCGCTGTATGCTGGATGGGCCATCACCTCCCATTCTCAATATTAGTTGAACACTAAAGACCCTTGTGTCCGTGTAGAAATTTGTTCAACATAACTTGTCGCAGATCTCCAGGTGGTGGATTTTCAACAATTAGAACAAAGTAAAGTAAAATTCCAAAAACCAAATATATATGAAAAATAAAAGTCCATTGTTTTCGCAAGAGTGAATGTCCACTTACCTATTTTCCACAAACCCTTCTTCCTCATGTTTGTTTACATCTCTGAGATTTAATTTGAAAAAACGTGCCAAATCATACCCACCAACCCAATACAATAATAGTATTCTCTGGTCTAATTTCTCTTTGTTATCTATTGGTTTTTCTCTGCTGATTGATTTCAATGCTATTCAATTCAATCCTGGACGTCGGATCCAACATGAAACGAACGAAAAAAACGCCAAGTAAGTCATATCGTTTTTGTTGATCTTTCACCCCATCATACATGCAAATTAAGGGTTAAATTTCAATCGATAAATTTGCGGTGAAAAGATCAACAAGTACCGGTTTTTTTAGCTTTGTTAATTTATTGTTGCAGTTCTATTTATTGAGGTTTGTCCCAAAAATAGGATTCCAAATGGTGCTGGCCCGCAGCCAGGATTTCGCGACTTTCGGTCTAACGGCTCGAGCTCCTCGAGGCTACCCCCAATCAATTTCCAACCAAGAAATTATATTTTTCAAAAATTTCAGGCTACAAAACTTTCTAAACAGCTTCTTGAAAAAATTCAAGAGATTTTTGGATATAAGAGCTCGGATACCGGATAGTTGCTGCTTGAATTTTAAAGGAAAAGGCGTTGCTCCTGATTTCTGGTTTTGGTAGAAATTCTTGCAAAACTTTTGCTATTAATATTTGTCGATTGCTTGGAAATGGATTCAAAGTGCTTTTGAACACATCAAACAAATCTTTATCAACTATAATCAACTCGAGGATCAAGGAAACCTCATTGAACCCCCAGAAATGGTTTGTGATCATGAAAGTGAAATCGTGTCGGGCTCACTAGAACCAGAAGTTTATTGTGCCGAATCTAAAGCGAGATAGGTGTCCTCGAATGGAAAAATTATATTTTATTGATAATAAATAATCCAAGCGGTTAAAACGTTGAGAATTTCTAAATTTCTTTCTTATATCTTATTATTATTATTATTATTATTCTTATTAAGAATTTCTTATTGTCGTTTGACACGTTCACAACAAAGAGGCCCACTGTGTAGGTCGTGAATGGGCTAAAGATTGTATTAGAATGAATTATGTAATTTGTCTAAATAGGAATAAATATACTCAGAAAATATATGTAGTACAATATGGTTATTCGTAAGACTAAAGTTTTACTTGTACATATTAGAAGAAAGACGATATGGAAATCAATGATTTCTTCCTTTATTTAGCCCAGCTGTGTTCAAGTACATAGCGTGGAAAAATGACAAAAATCGTGAGATGCTCAAGAATAAATGTGAAGAATGAATGAGTATTCAGTGAGCTCCACAAAATCAACACTAGCCGTGAATTTACCGAAAAAGCACTCAGCCAATGCACAATGACCGAATTGAACACTTAGATATCTGATGGAGCTCTAAAAGGTTTGAGAAGAGCTCTTGGATTGATTTGGATAGTTTTTCTTCCTCATCACCGACTAGTTCTTGTATATCAACGATCACATTCAGCGATTCACAATATTTGGGTTTATTGAGGAAAATTGGAGTGTTAAGCTGAGTGTTTTGGTGTTTTTTGTCATAGAACACAATGCTCTTGTGCCATGTTTTGGAGTTTAATTGAATGATCAATTGACAGTGCATCAGTATGACAGTGAACAGACTCACGTCCACTGTGTTTTGCAAATCACTCATGAATGTGAACTCATCGATTTGATCAGGTAATGATCCCTTTAACGACGATATAACGACGAAGAGCTCTATTCACTTTCAATAATTTTAGCAATCCATCCCTTCCCAAACATTTCAATACGGATTCTTGAAGGACTGTTGGAGGAATTGAGAATCGAGAAGAGGAAAGGTTTTGAATCAATAGAAGCCATTTTGGGGGAATAATAACGGAGAGAAGATGAGAAGAGAATTTCAATAAAGAAATGAACAAAAGACGACACGTTTTGACGCCCAAAACAGCGACGAGCAAAAAAATTATTTTTTAGATTTTTCCTTTTGCTTTTTCTTTTCAATTTTTAATTTTTTATGTCTGCTTTTTGTGTTTTTAAGATAAAAAGAGGCGGAGAATCTGATTTTTTTAGGTTTCACGCATAGAAACTCACCGTAGCGCTTTCTTAAAGTGATTTTAACCAAAAATACCAAACTTTTTCCTTTTGCGGCCTGTTCTTTAACGCTTTTACTAACTTTTTAATTTTGCTGATAACAGAGCAATCCGAAATTGAGCAAGGTGTTGCTGCATGCTCATCATCGTTGTGACGTCGCTTATCATCACGGACCGACGTGTTGACTAGAAAACCCAATTCTTTTTCTACGGATCACTTGCAAGCTGTAGTTGTTTATGTTCTTCATCGCTAGTGTTATGATTTTTCAGAGTCTCTTGGACTATTAACTTTATGCTATTTTTTGTTTTTATGCTATGTTATCGTTTGATTGTTGGCCATGTTGTTTTTCAATGAATTATCAAAATTAAAAGTTGCAATCAAAAAATGAATTGTACATTGGAAAAGAAAAAACTATGTTTTGCATCGGCGCTGTTTTGGGCATTTTTACATCTGGGCGAAAGAACGAAAAAAAAACAAAAAACGTCTAATAGCTGACAGCTTCGCCTTCAAAAACATTTTTAGTGCTTTTTGCTAAGGTTAACTTTTCTTTAAAGTTCTTTTGCCATATGAACAATAAAAATATACACCAACATGGAAAAGCTACGTCTACGAATAGTTAATAATATTGCAGCATGAATGGGTTGATGCGATGATTCATTCCCACACTAAAACAAATCGAAGGCGTTTCCCAGGTAAATTGTTGAACAAAGACAGTTTCAGAAAGACAAATTCAAAATCATACATGGCAATTTGAGATGGCGAGTGAAAAAAAGCCCGAGATAAGGCTTTGTTCAAGACTTCGGCTCTTTTCAAATGCAGCCAAATCATTTTTTTTTGTTGACTCAGCTCATTCTATTCAGCAATATAAATTGAAATTCAATTTTGGTTCTTTGTACATTCTGATTATTTAACCACGGCTCTTCGATATGTCTTCACCCAAAGCTTTAAAAGCAAATGAACTTTGCCAAATCATAAATGCCACTATATTTAGTGCTCAGTTCAGAGTTGAATCTTCGAAGATTAGCTGTTTAGTCAAGGCACAACAACTAGCTGTATAGAAAAATTGCTTCTGAAAAGATAAAATATAAATACTCAGATCATCTGACCAGCCCGATAACGGCATCTACAGGGTGGCTAATAAGTAATGTCGCATGCTTGAACGCGTGTTACTTCTCGAGGTTACTTCCAAATCTCATGAGCAACCTGCTAAGATGTTGCTAAGAGTCTAGGGACTCTGAATATATATGTCGTAGCCGATTATGAATGAAAGTAACTTTTTCTAGAAATTTGTCGTCAAATGTAAATTATTATGTTGATATTTAATTGTTTAGTGCTGTTGTTGTCAAGGTAACTCCTGACGTTTTAACCACGTTTATTGAATGTAAACGAAAACATATTAACAAATTTTCTAGAGTTAAAAATAACGACAAACATAACAACAATAACAATAGCAAAATTAACAAGCCAAAAGATTAACAAAGGTTCACAAAATTATCCCTGGTTCAAGCAGGAGTTGCTATGGTGCCATCGGCTATTACAGAGGACGTTGGCTTTTCGACAGGCACACCGTCCATTCAAACATCCATTTGTGCAGTTGCAATGCTTATGGCCAAAAATAAAAAGTAGTATTAATTTTGAAATGAATTTGACTTAATATCGCTGAACTAGATTAGAATAGACTCACCTTGCGATCCAGTCAAAGACTCGGCTCCAACAGCGGCTCGAAACGACGTCTCAACATGTGGCACTTCTTCAGCGGTGATGAAATTATTATTGGCCGGTTCGAATTGATTCCTTGTTAACCTAAAATAAAATATAATTATAACTATAATATAAAATTTAAAAACTTACTTTTGTTGAAGAATTCCGTTTTTAGTGCCAATCTGATAAAATCCCTCGTTTGATTCCAGAACGACCCCAAAAAGCGATGGATGACCGATCTTCGGACGATCGACAGAATCAATCGGCAGTCGGACTGTTCTTCCCACTTCAACTGGTCCAAATCTAACAAAATAGATTACATTTTAAACCATTAAAACAAACCATACCTATTTTTTTGAAGCTTCCAGCATCTTTAAGGCCTGCATTTTTTGGCATTGTAGGGCTCCCTCTCGGTGTTGCAGAATATTTTCATCTCGCTTTTCTAACTCTAAGTCAAATATTAAACTAACTTTACAATAAAGCATTAATACTATGACTTACCCATTGCCTTCTCGAACTCCTCGTCCACTTCGTCACTTGTGTCCGGAAAAAAAGTTGGATTTTCTGTGGTTGCGGCTCGAATCGATTCACTCGAGTCGTCAAATTTTTCGTTTTCGTCGACCTGAAGCAAACGAATAAATTTAATCAACAAAAATAATATTAAAATCTAATTTTATTACCTCATTTTCGTTTTCACCCTGATTTTTTGGTAGCTCTCCTTTTTCAAAGCCGAGTGTCATCTTCCGACCAAACATTGCTTCAAATGGCGAACGTCCGATCCCTCTTCATCGATTGCACAACTGGAAGAATTCGGGTCCACCTTGTAGATTTTTCTTCACGTAGCTGAGTGCAAAGGATTCTCTACATGCAATATTGTTTTAAGCTAAAAAATGTTCATTCCGCACAACTAACTAACCTCAACATCCTGATTTGCTCTTTCAACGGATCCTTGTGATTGCGAGTGTCGTGGTCGCCCGTGCACAATTTGACACCCTGACCAACGATTCATTAATTCTTTAACCTAAAAGACAAAAGTTATTGAAAAAGCTGCAATAGATAAATGTAATAAAATAATTTTAAAAAATCAACGATTTCATTGTATTTGTCAGCAGACGGTATCAAAATCTTCTTTCTTTGAGATTGATATTGCGTGAAGGTTTCAGCAAATCGATCCTCCATCCTAAAAAGAAAGTTGAGTCCGATGAAAATATAAAAGACAAAAGTTAAAAATGTGAAAACTTAAACTTTTTTCGAAAGTATAAAGCATGATTAACAAGTGGTAACTAGTAACGTATTACGGTTCAAAACATTTAAATTCTGGGTCAAAATGGGAAAGTTGCCGATCCGTACTCGAACTGGGGGAATTGGGGTTTTACCAACTACAACATAAAAAAATAATTTGCATTTGACGACAAATTTCCAGAAAAAGCTACTTTCATTCATAATCGGCTACGACATATACATGAAATTTTCGGACAATAACTGGTAAATTTCATTGCAATTCTTGTGCTTTTCAAGAAAGGCACTTTGCCCGAGGTCAATTCTAAGCTTCTCATACAAGTGGAAGTTTAATTTATTCAGTTAGCTTTTTTTTATCATTTTCTATGGCAGAAGCTTTGTTTTTGTGACCTTTTAGTTGAAAAAACGCAAAAAGAATAAAATAAAGTGAACAAGAATGAAAAAATATGAAATTTCGCGCAAATGAGAGGGGTATGGTAGTCTTACCACGCTTTAAAGCGTCAACCCAGCATTTTCTCGGAAAAAGGTCGCAAGTGGGAAATGCAGGGCGGTCCATAGCAACCTGCGAAATTGTCTCAATTTAGATAGACGCAATTCTACTGTGCCTGAGGTCGCAAGTCATTTTCCCTAACTCTGAATCTTCTCAATCTCATCGATGGCCAACGCCGTGAGCAAATTCATCATCAGCACCAGAATCACCACCACGAAGAGAATGTACAAGTAGAAAACGAAATAGCCAAGCCATGGCCTAAATTTAGCAATAAAATAAAATAAAATTTTGTGATTATAGCTGAAAATATGACATTCGTGTCTTGGGAGCATCTACCGTTTAATTATCAAACCAACATTTTGTCTTCGCTTTCGCCGTGAAATATCTCCGAGTAGTTGATCTCACCGGTTCCCATTGCCAGCATTTTGAAGAAAGACCAATGAATATGCGAAAAATCTTTCTAAATTTTCTCTTGTTACTCAATAAAAACAAACTTTTTCACTACAGTTCTTCTTTTACAGGCCGATATTTGCTAGATGCACATCTAAAAAGTGTCCTCACTTTACCTTGTCCTGTAAGAGCAGTGAGAAGCTGAAAGAAAAGGCCAGAAGAAAAAAGACGAAAATCCACGTCTGCTTTAAAGATTTTGCAGCCACATTTTTGAACATCAACACAAATAGTCCGAGTTCTTTCCATTTTCTCAACAGATAGAGCTGAAAAACGAGATTTTCCAGAGCAAAATGTAGGAAACGACCAAATTCCCCCATGAAAGGACGATCGTGAAAGCGGACATGACCCAGAAAAGCTGAAAAGTGCTTGCTTGGAAAGTCGATACGCAGTCGATGTCAAACCATAACAAGTTCTAAACTTCAGCGACATTTCGAACTCAAAATTTCCTCTCATCAACGCATTTCCAGGCTATGGTCAGCATAGAAGACAAGCAAATTGAGAGTTGAATGATGTTCTCCCCTGAGAGTGGACTTGCTTGAAGTTTTGCACATTTTATTACATGTCTAACTAATAAGGGACAATTTGCGTATTCCTCTTTCGTAGTAGGATTTTGGTTTTGAATCGAAAAACTTTTAGAGCCAATTTTTGATCGCTACTTCCGAATTGAAGTGTTCTCCTGCAAGCTCATTACTCATGCTCCGGCGCTGTTTTGGGCATTTTTACGTCTGGGCGATAGGACAAAACGTCTCACACATGGCAGCTTCGCCTTCAAAAACATTTTTAGTGCTTTTTGCTAAAGTTATCTTTTCTTTCCAGTTCTTTTGCCATATAACAATAAAAATATACACCAACTTGGAAAAGCTACGCCTACGAACAGTTAATAATATTGCAGCATGAATGGGTTGATGCGATGATTCATTCCCACACTAAAACAAATCGAAGGCGTTTGTTGAATTGTTGAACAAAGACAGTTTCAGAAAGACAAATTCAGAAAGGCAAACCATACTTGACACGTTCTTTCGGAAGGTGAGTCCTCCGCATATATCGTTTTAATATTAACAGCTGCACTGTGCTCTTGTAGGAACTCATGAAGCATCACATGACGCATATGTTCCGGTGGCAGATTCTGAAAAATTGGTCCGGTGGCAGATTCTCGAGTGCAATAGAAGAAGTGAAGAAATAAAAAATACCAAAAAATAAAAAGTTGGAAGCATAATTTTTTCGCAATAATTCGAGGAAATGTTGAAGTAAACAAGCCCCCCTTTCAGCTGGTTCTATTCTTTTTAGTCCTTATTTTTCAGTTTTCTCCAACCGTGTACCTTGGAGTGGTGCGTAAGCCGTTAGTTTAACTTTGGTTTAGTTATCTAATTGTAGTCAGTCTTCATGTAATCCTTCAATTCAATTAAACTTCCAGAATGGTTGAACTACAATCACCCTTCCTCCAAAGTTTGAGGATTTCTTTTTTTAGTGTTTGCCTTACTAATGCCCATAGCATTGTCTTTAATAGCAAAAGTCGCTTAGCTTAGCTACTTTCCAGACCATGACTCGTGCAAAATCTGATTCGTTTTTGCTATTACCGAAACGAACGTGGAATTTTGCCTTTTTGGCGCTGGAATAGCAACAAAAGTTTGATTTTTATCCTGGATGGTGCTCCGATTCACAGATGTCGGCGCACATAGAAATGGTTGCGACGCAAGAGAATCCCTCTTCTCTCCTGGCCAGCTTGTTCTACTGACTTGAATGTTATCAAAAACTTAGGGGCATCTATGGTTCGCAAAATTTACGACGAAAACAAGACCTATCGGAACGTTGATGAGCTCAAGCTTGCCATTATCGACGCTTGGCACCGACCAGAAATTGATTGATGATCAGAAATTGATGGATTAATATCCAGGGCTTGAATGATCAAGTTTTTCAGCTAATTCAGCTGAAGCTGTTACTGATTTTTGAATTAGAAATTCTCGCTCAAATATTTTTTTTTGTTGTTGCTGTTAATAAAGCATTCTTGGTACTATCATTTTATGGATTTTCCAAAGTGGTTTTTTGAAAAAATGCTAATTTTTATCCTAATTTCTATTCAAATTTGGTATTAATACACATTTTAATACTCAAAAATGACAACTTTTTTCTTTTGACAACTTTTGTCGGGTCGCGTCCGTTTCCTTCCTATTTGCGTTGCTATTTTGCAATTATTCGCGTCGCATTTTTCGCCCTTTTCTCCCTTCCCAAAATTGTTTTTTGGTCTGCGGGTTGCTTTTGCCTTCCCTCTTGGGGGACTTTGGTTGTTTCTTTTGATGCGCATGCTGTCTTTGTAATAGGTATTGTTGCATTTTGGTTTTGTACTAATAAACAGTAAAATTATAAACTCAACTTACTTTTTTAGCTACCCTTCAGGTTTTAAATCCTGTTTAGATAACTGGTTTAACATTGTAGCGAGAGCTTACTAACATTTGTGTCGCCACCGACGAGTATTAATCTTGTGTTGGATGCTGCTCGTTCTTGTTATGTTGTAAGCGCTTTGGGGAAACCCTTTTTAACCTTCTTTGTGCAATTCGGCTATTCTGAAGCAAAATCATCCTCGATGATAAGGTTAAGCGGGTCGCACCCCAAACTGGGGGCCGAACCGATCCACAAGCCTTTGGGAGGACAGTGGTTGAACTAAGAGGAAAAATGAAAGATCCAGCTGAACAGAAAGGCTGAAAGGGATCTGTTAGGAGAAACGGTTGATCCGACTCTTATGACCCGAGAGAAAGGGTAAATTTTGACCTCATTGGAATCATAAGTCGAATAGAAAGACTTGCAGAGGCGTTTTGAACAAACATTCGTTTAGTTCAATGAATCCGACCAGGAACAATTCATTTGTGATTTGAATCAATTATTTTCCTCATGAGTCGAAGAATTTTGATTCTTGAAAGTATCGGCATATTTCTTGCGCATGAAACTCCGAAATTACTTTCCCCACGATCGTTATTCGCAAATTTACACCCATGTTGATTATATTGCTTTGTTTTCGATTACTTTCCGTCTACAACGCTAATTTATATATTTTCAGGGTAAATTGAAAAGATGACAGGCAAGATAACTGATGCTGCGAGTCGACACGAAGAGGGGCTCCTAGAGAATGTAAGTGTTTCGAAACAAGTGTTTGGGAATCTTGTGGAAAAGCTGAAAGAAGGCGTTGAAGAAAAAGTTGAAACTCTTGTAAGTGTTCTATGCTCTTGCAAGAAAACAACTAATCGTCAAAAAGCGGCCATTAGCATCGAGAGCAAGAAATTGCTTGAAGAGCTTTGGCTCGACTGCGATAAGTTGAAGGAGGCGGAAGCAAAATTGGCTGAAGCCTACGCAATAGAACCGAAAAGAAAGGGGTTGCGGGGAATGATTGTATGATCAAAGTATGCAATGAACTGGGCTTTGAATCGAAAGAAGCGCTTACAGAGTTCTATGAGAAATACATAGAACAGAAAGAGTTGATTGACTCACTTTGCGATACGTTTATGATCAAGCGAACAGAGTTGATTAGGAAAGTTGATAGATGTATTGGAGACCACAATACACTAATAAAAATTTGTGACATGTTGAACTGCAAAGAGGAAGAAGCATATTCTGTTATTCAGGCGATGCTCACCGATTCGGTCGAAGACAGGACCAATTACATGAAGGAGCCCTCAGCCTATAAGAAAGGTATAAAGTTTGAGGAGCATATAGAGAAGGAGTGGGAAAGAGGAAACAAGTATTTGATTCAGGCATCACCGTTGCGCACCGCGGAGACGATGATGAGCCAGAGCCACTGGAGGGAAACACTCGAGGAAGGAACAACGCAGAACGGTATGGGGGATAGTAACGAGTCAAAACTCACCACAAAAAACATACCAGTTGTTGACACAGCCGCAGCGTTCCTAGATGCCGCATATGTATCCAACTTACCCCCGATCAAAACGTTTGCAAATAAGCCCAACCAAGAACCCTTCTGCGATTTTGTTCTCTCGATAAAAGCGCGCTT